TCCACCTTGTAATATGCTTCTTATTTTCTACCAGTGCTTTCAAAAAATAGTTTTGATTGAAATGTTAATATGAAACGCCTCAAAGAATTCTCAGATATGTTTTGGTTAAACTAATCAAATTAATGTGGGTGTTTTTAACGTTGTTAACATAAACCTATGTAATTTTTGCCTCCGTCATTTGCAAAAGCTGATCATTTATTAAATTTTTTCATCCAAACTTTAAATCCAAAATGCAAGGTGGTAGATGGAAATGTTTTTGGGAATTTGAATCAATTATTGAAATAAGTTCGTGAATAATGAACAACCAATATCAATTTCAACCTTTGAAATAAACACGATTTCATGTCAATTTCATCGCTTTCTTTCCATTAGATATTTCATTAATATTAAAACCTCAATTAATGTTTCAAATCGTAATTAATTATTAAGGTCTTTTTGTCCGAACGAAGTACTCTCACCGATGATTAGATAAATAAGAGAATACTATGTTTTGGTTGTATTGTTGAAGAGATAGGTGCTAGATAGGCATATAACATGTTTTTCGTTATCTAGAATGTTTATCGTGTCAGTTATTTCTTAGTGAAAAGTAATTTGTTTATTTTTAAAGTCTTCTATGATCTCGACAAAATGAATTTTTGATTAGTTTTTCTAGGTCAGAAGTAAACAATGACATGACCTATTATTTAGATCAGTGAAAATATAGATGAAATTTAACTTATTTTTTCTTATATTTACTTCGAACTAAAGCAATATTTTACCAAGCAAGACTAATGTATATTTCTTGCATGAACAGTAAAATTATATATGCGGCACCGAGAAAGTGTTGCGTATTTTTTGATATATGCTCACGTGGTAGCCCAGATTTTAAATGTAGTGACTAACCAATCAGGTGCCTGGAACTAAATTTCAAATTCAAAGCTGGAGATGCGACACTGGCAGACGAGTTCTGAAAATGATATCGAAATACGTTTAAATGTCTAAATATCCTATGATGATATTTTTACGATTATACCTTTTATTCAATGATAAGAAAGGCTAAGTGGTAGGATATCAAAAGGATACGGTTACTGGTTTCATAATATATTATTTTATTAGCCAATATATTGGCTTTCTTTTTGTGATTGCAAATATTAACGTGCAAAATACATATTCTGGCCTTGCATTACAATCTTATGATTGTATTTTACTCATCTGCCATGTGTTTTATTACTATTAGCAAAGAATTTAGTCTGATAGTACTTCGCTAAATTTTTGACTAAGCAGTATAGGTTGCGCATTGTGCAACATAACATTCAATAAATATTTGCTACCAATTCAAAAAAATGATTCAAATATAATTTTCACTGTTATTTGGCAATGTTTTCAATACTTCATGCATTATCTCACTTCGTGTTAGCTATTGTGTTTGAAGTACGTTGATCTTTCCTGTTGGACATAGTACACACCTAATTTGTTATGCCATTTGTAACATGGAGTAAGCCGAGGTTTAACAGAAAATCACTACCGTGTTTCCCCGAAAATAAGACTGGGTCATATTTCAATTTTCTTTCGAAAAATAACACTAGGGCTTATTTTCGGGGGAAAATCTTTCAAAAATCTTTTTACACGTTTTAATTCAAAATAACTGCAAAACATAGATTATTAATCATTTAAAACGTGTAGGACAATTTTTTTGCTATCCACTAGACAAAAAAAATTCTCGTTACTTATATTAAAATCATTTTTAAAATTCAGGCTAGGTCTTATTTTCGGGGAAACACGGTAGCAACATAGATTCAAATGCAGAACCACTACATCCTTTGAAGGATAATCGAAATACACAAGATGATTTATATTTGGATTAACAATACAATCGTTCAGTACTTGCCAACATTACATCACTATACACGATGAAAATGAATGCACGAAAAAATGATTTATGAATTAGAGAAAAAGTTGATTTCGACTTTTAACGCTTGCGACGAACTTTTGGAGCAAAAGTTTCAGTGAGTTGCAAAATCATAAATTATTCACGATCCCAAAATGATTTATCAATAAAATCCCCCAAAAGGCCCCGAGAGTTGAACACAAGTTTACTTTCTTAGCTACATGCAAGCACGATGTATAGATAACTTAAGGCGATAAAGATTGGATTTATATGTGGTCCTCGCTTGACAACAAGAATTACAAAAAGCAGCTTCCTGAAATAGACACTGTGTCTTCACTGCAATACAGCTGACATTCAACTTTGACTGTTGACCCTTGACATCACTTTTATGGCTCGTTATATATAAGGAAACATTGATAATTTATATAATAACGATTGAAAATAATCTCGTAATAAATTCAGAAAAACAGGTTAAAAAAATACAATCATTGTTGTGTGAAATACAAATTCTATGTTGAACTTAAAAGTTATCGATGATGCATTTTCGTATAAATTTTATTTACTCTCTTCTACAGTCACGCCATTACCAAACACCTTCGACCCTTGGGTTTTAGAAGAACTTAATGGATTTTTCACGATGGAACCAATTCATCTAAGTCTAGGCGAAGCGATGTATTTCAACTACTTGATTTTATTGACAAATAGCCTACATGTATTCGGAAAAACTGGCGTGGTCTGTATGTAGAGATTTACTTTAAGCGCGGTTTTTATTCCGTCGATTATGCTTTCAATAGTAATTTTCTTTTTCACCAATTTTTAGTTCAAATTTCTGATATGCTGACAGAGTATCAGCAATATAATGTTATTATATTATCTTTTTTGGGTTTAGAAAGAAGATAATTAAGACTATTCTTGTGGCTATGGGAGAGTATGTTATGTAGTATACTGATATATATTGAAAATTTCCAATATTTTTACGAGTAAGTGCTTGCTCTTTGAGTGCTTGATTTGCATGAATGTTTGCATAAACATAGTCTAATCTAAAGTAATGTTCACCATATTCAAAATGAAAAAAAAAAAACATTGACAAAACGGCGATTGATATTTTGATTCTCTCAGTTGCCTTGACTGATGTAATATACTTATTGAATTTTCACATTTCAAATAAAAATTTATTTCAAATTATGTAACAGGGTGCTCGAGATTAAAATTTGATTGAATTTTCAGTGCTTATCAGAGCTTGTTGTAACAGACTCTGCTCATTGGAGGATTTAATTCCTTTAATAAATTAAATCAAAATTTCTGACGTTGAAGGAATAAAAGGATTCAAAAGCGCCAAGTTGTGTGTAAACTGTAATGAAAATCGCAGTTAGTTAAGTCCCGCCAGCTTCCTGGAGTAACAAAAGAAACAAATAACAAGATGTTGATTTTTGAATCAATCTGAGGCACATATTTCTCCGATGAAGAATAAATTTGCTGGACGATAGGTATCGAATTCACTATTGACATCTAGCGGCAAAATTTATTGTATTGTAAATTTATTGTATTGTATTGTATGTAATAAAAACTTTGTACAAAATCCTGTTTAAGTCATGTCTGAAACTTATTTAAAATATTTTACAAACAGCAGCTGTAATTAGGCTGAGTGAGTTTTTCGAAAATAATACTGTTGCTCCTTTCTGAACCGCCGAATTGATTCGTCAATTGCATAAATTATTGTTTCTAGTTTTATGAAATCGTAGCGAACGAATTTTTATCGAATTCTACATAAATTTTCAAGGTTATACTGAATACTGAACAGAATACTGTTTTGTTTTTATATTGTAATTTCACTGAAAGTTCTGGCGCTTTCATATTTTTATACCAAGGTTATATTTTTTTCGTATAAAATATTTCATGGATTTAGAGACGCAACAATGATGAGTAGATCTCATATTTGGAGTTTCTCAAAAAAATACTCGAAAAATCGTTTTTGAATATTTGATTTATGTTTTCAATATTCCCAATTTAAAAATTCAATTCTTTTCCGTTTTTTAAATTTATGATACCTAATTAGTATTCCCAACATATGGCGGCTGTGGAACCACTCAAACATAGTTTACATCGAAAATATAAAAACAACAAAAAAATTCGAAAAAATGTTTTAACATAAATCTGTTGATTTTATGACAAACACAAATAAATATACAATTTTCACTTAAAACAGACAGTTTTTAGGTTATATATCGTTCTATCTGGTTTGAGCGATTCACTACATAATATTGGTGCGCAAATACTTGTTACAACTCGACGGGAACGATAAGAGTTCAATTGGTTTGATTAATAATGCAAGAGGGAATTTAAAATGCGTTTGCATGAAATATTCATTCCAGGTGATCCGGTGTTGATTACCTTGTATGACCCGGATGAGTTGCAGCTGCGTGCATATAATTTTCTCTTGGATAATTCCAAAAAGAGAGCAAGCCATAAATATATAAAAACGAATTTTTGTTTCAACAACAATAACAGTTATACAAGACCATCTATTAGGTGCAACTCTTGCCAAAAATCAAGACTGAAGATTGTTTATGCGAAGCAGAATATTCATTATAGTTTTATGAAAACAAAAAATGACCTTATGTTAGAAACATAAACTGCTTATTCCCAGCTTTATATTATTGAAAAATTATGGGGTCGCATTTGTTACTGTTTTCTTCCTTTATGTCTTTGGGCTCGTATACCGGTACTATATGTTATGTAGTCAAGAATTTAGAATATGGCCAAATCGTTGTGTGAGTCGCGGCGTGATGGCGAGAGCAGCGCGCCGATTACAGTTGGACCTTTGGCGCCACCGCTTGATCGTTCTATACTCTTCATGACCTCGGAGATGATATTCATTAACCATGGGGTTTGTAAAAGCTATTCATCATATCGTAGTTTTGGCTTGTATAAGATATCCTTATATTACTTAAGATATTTCGTTGTCATGAAAGCTTTGCAGCCAGGGCTGTAGGGTGTTTGGCGGGCTGGTACAAATTTTCCCCGATTTCACAGATCTGTTTGTAGCACATTGAGTCGGTAATTTCTACCGCTCCCCTTGCATCTGGAATGATTCCTTTCTTGGATTTAACATATCAATCGAAATTAAACATAATAGTTTATGTTCAAGTTTACTGATACAACTTAAAGAAAAATGTCCAGCAGTGAAGATCAAGGCTCAAATGAAAATATATATTTGTAATAAAATGTATGAACAAAAAATTTCAAGCATGTTGATCAAGAAGTACTCCCGGCTTCTGAAGCACGTGACCCAGACTGTCGTCTTTGTCTTTCCGCATCAGTGAAAGGCTCTGTAGGATCTGGAACTTTCTCTGGTGAAGGTGGCGGGGTTGGTAGTTCTGTAACAAAAAATATGTTTATATGGTGCTCCTGTGAAATATGCGCACCAAGAAATCGCGTAACCAGAACCCTAACCTGGTACACAACCTGAGTTCAGGTTGTTCGCCATCTTGGTGCGCATACTTCAGGACGTTCATTTATGTTATACTTTTTACACCAGAAGTAGTGGTTTGATGTAACCGATTTCGGATGCAGGTACAAATAATTATATATACTGAAAGCAGGATTAGAATCAAAATCTGCATTGACATCTTGATCAGAAAACATCCTAACAAAACTGAAATGATATTCCATTGGATTCTTCCTTCACCAGTTATGTTTATGCTATGTTTATGCTTGACGAAAGATAAAGCTGGCAAGATTGAGAGAATTGCTGCAACTCCTTTTTTGGCGAGGTCGTTCACATAATCATCCATCATTTACATTCTTCCCCATCATGAGAAGAAACTGGATGCGATAGAGGTTTGATTTACCATTGTGATTGAGCTATTTTATGGACCTCCTCTCCCCTGAGTTGGAAAAGAAAATTTAAATTTTAGTTTGAGAGAAAAACTCACTCGGTTGAGGTAATGGCTGTCCAAATTCATCCGATCTTTCATCTTTCCATGCTACGATTCTTTCCATCATCACCCTCTCAATTATTTCCATATTTGATGAAAAAGTTTCAAGAAGTTTGTTTCCCTTTGCAATTCCTAGTTGAGAAGCACATTCCTCCAGAGCAGGTCTATTAGTATCCTGCATCATGTCATCTGGAAGAGGATTCTCTTCCTCTTGTTCTTGGAGTTCTTGTGAAACATTGTAAGAATCATTGAAATGAGAGATGGATTGTTCATATTTACCCTGTAAAAATAAAAATGTGTATTTTTCATCCAACATTTTTGGCCACACTAGCTCCATTAAAATGGAGCAATTGTGGTAAAAAAGGTATTATTTAGAGTAAACAAATTTGGACAAAGAAGGTTTTATAAAAATATTTGCCTCCGTTGTTGTCAAATGAATTTCGTTTTTTTTTTTACTATTGGTCAAAAAAGTATATGAAACACCCTTTTGCTATAGTAACAATAGTTAAACCCTCCAGGAATGAAATAAACTCCGTTGACAAATGAGTTAAAATACAACTCAATATAATATATATATATCCAAATGTCTACAAACCTTCCTCTTGATAATTTTAAAAAAATCATTTATGGTAGTAGATTGCAAATAAAAATGGCGTCAATCCCCTATCACAACTACATAAATCTTACCAATGTATTGTAGATGATTCCGAGACAGTTACACGCATCAACAAGTTCCGTCTTTCTTCCACTGTTTTTAGAAGTTGCCGCAAATATTTCCAAAAACTCGATAGATTTTGGAATCCCACCCAAAGTTTGATGAGATTTCGCAAGAGCTTCACATGCTTTTCCTATTAATTCATTTTCCTTGCATTCTGTTGCTGTTGTCAGACACTGGTTTAGATACTAAAAAACAAATGTTTTTTCTAAAAATAATTTTAATAATAATAATAAGTAATTTTCTAGTCAGTCTGGTGGGGACTAGTCTCATGATGACATCTTGCCGAATGGTTCCCTTAGTAATTCCAGGATAGTACCACAAAAGGTAGGTTAGGCCATGCCAAACAAGAATATTACATTCTCTGCAAGCATAAAAACTCCTATGTAGTTTCTTGTTTAAAGTCTCATTCATAGCAAAGCATTCAATTACTTTGTTAAAAATACCTTCTCATCAACCCATATCTATCAAACAAGGTAAGTCACTAATTACAAGTAGCAACTGGTATAGGCAAACTGAATAGTTGATAAAATTTATCAATACAGTCCTACCAATTGATCGCTCTCAATGTAAAAATGTCCAGAACACTTATGGGATTAAATAAATAAAAAACTAAGGTACATATAACAGAATATACCTCAATAGCTGTCTCTGAATCATGTGATGTCTCGTATGCACAGCCAAGTCTATATGCTGCTTCACCTTCTTGTAATCTATCTTCTCCTTCTTTAGACATTTCAAAGGCTTTATTCAAATATTCATGAATTTCTGGTTTATTTGTTGTGTGATCTGCAAGAGTTGTGTATATCCTGAAAAAACAATGAAAAATGAGTTTTTTGAGACTTAATCATACTGTATATAATGTATATGATGACTTTGCTATCAACTTACACATACACATGTCTGTAGCAGACTCCGCAGACATTTTTGATCATATTCTATCATAAATGCAGAATGACTCAATTTTATACCCCATACTGTGAACTCAACTGTGCAGTAAACCCTATGTCCATTATCTCCAACAGGGTATGATACATTAGGTCAAAATATGCCAAATCAGTGAGATTCTAGTTCTATAAAAACTTAGTAACTTCAAACATATCAGTGAGTACTAGTTCTTTCATTGCAAAGCTTTAAAACACCTGACAAAATTATTTTCAAGGAATCTTTTAAGGAATAAATATAACAATATATCCTGCACACTTTAGACAAAAATATATATTATATTTAAGCATATCGAACCTGCATAAATGTCTGCATGATATATGATGCAGATTTATATCATTTTCATCAGCCCATAATCTTCCTAACGTCAGTTGATAAAATTCTTGCATCTGACGACATGCTTCTTCATGCTCCCCTATAAATATGTAAGAGATTAGATAAGAAGTAGGCAATAATTTCAATGCTGATTACCATGCATGGGTTCACAGGTTCGAATCCTGTGGTAGGATATTTGTGTGCGAGAGGATTGCTGGACTTCTCGTCGCTGTAGGGTGGTTCACGTACAAACTTAAGGCTTCCTCCGTTATCAAGTCAATGCATCTGAACCAAATAACTTGCTAGCTAATCCTATGCCAGACATGGACGAGAGGCCGTGGTTTGCTATATGATTAAGCTTCCATAACGGGTCCTCTCTCTCACAGGATAAATATAATAATTCTATCCTATTGTGCAATCTTTGAAACGTTGACTAAAAGGATACTAAATTTTCACTCTGTCTGAGTGAATTCAAAAATATGATTACAGTTCTAACTCTATTACTGGCAACAAACAAAAACATAGATTTACTGACTATCCGAAGTTAATTTTTGAAACTACAAAATTCTTGTGCAAGCCCTAGAGGCCATACTCATAGGCTGACAGCGAATAATGATTCATCTAGTCACTCAAAGAATATCTTTCCTTACCCCTCCTTTCACAGGCAAGAGCCATATGACAATGTGCTTCTGATTCTCTTCTTCTTCCATCAAGTTTTATGTTGAGACTTATTTGCAGAGCAGTTTGGAAGAAATGATCAGACAACCATAAATCTCCACATTCCAGAAAATATTGTGCAAGAGCATGACGACAAGCGTATACATCATCCCATTTGCCTGAATATAAATTACCATTTTTTTTCTTCTATTTATTAAAAATCACAAAAGTTACGAAATCAATTGAAGTAACTGATTATGCTAAGCCATTATAAAATATAATAATTTCAGCAGATTTGACTGTATTTCATCTGAATGTCTCCACTCTCCAAATTAAACTTTTTCTTTTATCAATGGGCTCTTCGTTCATTTGAACAGTATTCTGGTGGTGTTCTTTCATTTTTTACATAATCTATAGATACTTGTTTTGTTTTTCAATTTCAATGAATATGCCTTTCCTCTAGAAATGTGCTATTAGCTGTACAACTCACTACATTGAAACAATTTTAACACAAATGACGGACGCTATCATTCAGATCATATGTACCAATATATCAACTGCATATCCAAAATTATCACTGAGTTTAGAAGCACATTTCCTTTATGTTTGAAACGCTATCAAAAACTATTACATTCAAATTTATAAGAACATACCAAGTCGAGCTGCATATTCTCCTTTTGTCAGGAAACTACAAATTTCATCAAGTTTTTCATGTTGATCTTCTAGTGGTTGTTCCTGAAACAAAAATGAGAGAGATGAAATATCATTGTTAAATAAAATTTATAAACACAAGAAATTTAAAGAGCGACAATTATGCTTGGGATTTAAAAAAAATAAAAACTTAGAAAACAAAAATATTTTTTTATACAAATACTTATTTGCATCATTGAAAAAGTTTCAAAATTCGTTACGGAAGTTCATTTACCTCCCATAGAATCGAGTCTGGTCCTGCGTCAAGTCTTTCTTGCTTTCTTTTCGAATTCAGAGAAAAAAGTTCATCAAACGATTGATGATAACCTTCTTTTAACATTTTCACACAAAGATTGTGAATATAACTGTTTCTATAACTGTTCATGCAAAAAAAAAACATTCATTACCCTACAAATAATAAATATTTTAATATACCTAATAGATCATATACCAGACATTTTCATTATAGTTTGTTTAGGTGGCTTATATTATACAAAAATTATATGTTTTATGCTACTCAATGAGCATAAAAACCAATTTCAAATCCCATACCCACCATCTCTCCCAGAGTGTAATAAATTGGTAGGCATGTCAAACCGGACAGATTACAGTCCTTCCAGAACCAATAGCTTCGTAGATATCGTTAAATATCAGTGGCTGCCTATACATGGCCTTGCCTAGAGCAAAAGCCATGATTATTCTTCAAAATATCACCGACAAATGTAAAAGATTCGAAGGGGTTTGAATAATCTGAATGTTATGTATATACTTTATAATTTGGAAATGAGTAAATATACTATCGATTATACTTCTGTAGAATTAAAACTATAGGTTGGAAAAGTCCTAATAATATTATTTATAAACTCATTATAACAAAAACAATATGTCAAAAATAAGAGTTGGTATTACATAAACAGATGCAATGCATTTGAACTGATTAAACTGATTTTCAATTGCTGGCAAAATAATTTCTTTAAGCATTTGGACTAATAAACAGTAAAGGGCTCATACTTACTATGCAGTTTCGAACTTATTCAGTGGGGGTTCTTTCTTTCGGATTCTCTCAGCTTTCAACTGTTCTTGTTCTGCTTGTGTCAGAAATCTTGTTTGTCTTCTATAAGGACTCACTTAATGAAAACAAAAAGTGTTTTATTTTTATTATTATTGTAGTATGAATGAAATTCAAAAAGGAAACGGAAACAATATAAAAAATATGATAAGACTCTCAATTAGCAAAATGACAGTAAACTTTAGAATGTGACTCAACAGAAAGTCACCTGGATTGCAATCAAGCAATATAAAATTACATCTCAACATCTAACATGCAGAGAAATTGTCTTATTGCTACCTGTAACCAAGTCAACTATAATCAGATAATTGAATTAGGATATAGCTACATGCCTTTTCATTCATGAGCAATTTAGCAACATTTTGCTTTATTTTCAATGTCACATGTCAATAATTTTATAGCGCCAATAAGTCCAAAAATCTAAATGATTTTGGTGGAGCAAAATACAGATCAGGTATAGTTTAGTACCACATGAACTTCTAGTTGGCCTGGCTCAGCAATTTTGAATATGTTACGAATAACCCACATCTGACTATGTCATCCGGAAAACATGTCCCTACAACGTCACAGTCGTAGTATCACAGGCGTAATAAAGCCCGATAAAATATACGGTCGTCGTAATAATTTTTTAATTGTGACATCATAGATACAAAATTTTGAATGGCGAAGTCAGGTGGGGGTTGGGAATAACATATGCAAAAATTGTTATACTACACCCATTAAAAGTATGTGTAGTACTGAACTATACCAGACCCTTTACTTCTATCCGATACTTTGTATGAAACTATATGAGATAGACTATAACGCATACAGACATACCAATAATTAACAACTCACAAAATATTGAAATAAATAATTTTGATAAAGGAAAATACAAACAGTTGACAGTAGACAATACCAGTATGTCATGTGGCGTCAACGCAAATGTTCGATACCAAAACTATCAAATGTTCGATACCGAACTATCAAATGTTCGATACCGAACTATCAAATGTTCGATACCGAACTATCAAATGTTCGATACCGAACTATCATATGCGGGAATTGTACTAATTTCATAATTTACAGTTCCGCTATGGCATTTACAGATTTATGACAGTACCGTACTGCAGTATGACTTGCCTGGAGTTGTTCTCGCCCCTTTGTCCATCTTATTGGGTGATGATGGCTGATTTAAAGATTTTGATGGCAATCCTGACATCCTTTTGCCTTGTCTAATTGAAGGTAAACTCGTCATTGTGATTTTGTGTGCCTCAAAACTGCGTAATACCTGCTCGATTTTATTCCGAAACCTAAGAATGAGCATCCAACTCAATCAACGAACCGTGACGCAAGGTAGCATAACCATGGTAACAATTAATCTAGGTGTCACTATGGAGCATCAATATTTTCGCCACAAAATGTGATTTTTGCATCAGAGACAATGCATAACATTGTTATGTAAAATCTATGTTTGCATTGCGCGAAAACAATGTACCATGGAATTAAAGTTCATGATATTATTCAAAAAATGAAGAAAACATAATGAACTTGAACCAGTGTATTTCACAAAGACTCGTCAACACTGTCCATGTCCACTACACCCAAAAATGATATGTACCCCACTTGAAATAAGCATAAATATTGTATTGAATATCCTTTACAATGCATTTTATTAACTTAAGGTTTTTTGTGGCGAAACTGCTCTATTTTAGATTATCAAATGTACTAAGACCAGAAATCTATAGAAACCACACTCTACTAATGAATAATACTGAACAAAATTTTTTCATATTGTTCCCATCTGTAACCACATGGGGTCATCCTAATCCCCAAAACAAAAATCTGAAACGACTACTGAGCGTTTAGTACTTAATTATATCATACAAGTCCCATACAGATCATGCTTATGAGAGGTCAAAAAAACTTGCTTCACCATGTCAAGTCTCCTCCATATTCCTACAAATATATAAGCGCAACATTGGACGGATAGAAAATTTATTAAAAGAGGTTTCGCATAGCATACTCCATTAATAGAAGTTTGAATGAGTGTTGGTCACAAAGCTTTAGCCAAGAAAATGTACAGGTGTAATTGATAGACAATGATACAATGTACAGTGGTAATGAAGGTGGTGTTGGATACATTTTTAAAGAGAAATCAAATCAAAAATTCATAGCCATTTGCCAAATAATGTTGTTGTTTTTTTGTGTGTGTGTGTGAAGAGTACTAAATGTAAAGCATTATTATAGCCACTATATAATAGCATAAAAAAATGATGTGATAGTCTCAGCATAGATCACCAACATTTGTAAAAGTGAAAAACACCCAAGGAGAGATTTAAATTACAATAATAAATTTAATAATAAAATCTCAAATAGATTACATTAACATAAACAAACTGAATAATTGTGCTAATTAGCTTCAAATATAGAATTATTGCTTGTTTATTAATTTGCTAAGTGCACAGAATTAATAAAAAAGATTAAAGCTATATAAAAGAAATAAAACATGTTAAAACACAATAACTGCATCGAAATTTCATGCTTCATATACTTTCTTGCGCCTGAAATTAAAATTATATTAATTCAAACAACGAAAAGAAGAATTTTTAGACATTGATAGAAACTGCTTGTAACATGGTTACTCATGAATCTTCAACATGGGATGGTCAAAGGGTTCGTTAGATATCCTATACCCTAAGTTGGATTATCGATTACCTTTCAAAATTCTAGAATTACATAAGGTTGGCTAGGAAAGGAAAGTTTACATCTCAAATTAAATTTCATCAAATTACTTAAAATAGATTTGATAAAACAAAAGATAACTACGAAGTGAAAAGAAATGAATGAGCTTGGAGAAGAACTTTCATCAAGAATTTCATCGTAGATTGTTAACTTGAATAGTAAGTCTATTGATTTGAATAAACTTTAATAAAGAATTTACCTTGTCTGGGACTGCAGTGGTGGCACTTTTTTTAGCATTAGTCATCCAAGACTTTACAGTGGGCACAAGTAAACCACCGAGGAGTATTTGTGTAGGATGATAAATTAGAAGAGGAATGCTAAGTAATGACAGAAAATCAGTTCCATGATAAATAATTTTCAACATTGGTATACCTAAAAATAAAGTTAATTTACCAGACAAACATCAGGGCAAACAATAAACAGCAAAAAACACCATAATATATCATTAGTTATGTTTCATACAAATATCTTTAACAAAGTTTATTGAAAAAAGATAGCTTAAAAAGGTAATGTGTATAAAACCCCTAGATCAGGGTTTCCCAAACTTTTAGGGCCGCGAACCCCTATTTGAGAATCTTAGTTTTGACCCTAGTTTGGGAAAACCTGCCCTAAATTTTCTCATTTTAATTACGCTTACTTCTGCAATGAAATTTCAAAAAACTTGATTTTGATAACTTTTGCATTTAGAAAAAAGACACAAGAAAATGATGCATAGAATAAAAAAGTCATTTTTGCTCCTTGTATTTTTTTGCTACAATCTATTCACTGATATATAATTTACATATTGCGTTGGATAGTACCTTGTATGTTTTCTTACCTAAAGTCAATGATTTGTGAGAAGCACAGAACAAACAAGCAACTGTATCTGCTGGTGCAAAATTAAGTCTTTTTATTGTCGTTATAAAGAATATCAGTGATAAGAAAGTCACCTGCAGTATCAACACTGAAAAAAAATAATAAGAACTTCGTGACAAGAAATATTAATTTGTTTTATTCTATTAGACATGGTGGGTAAAAGCTAGGGCGTGATAACTTGAATAAAATAGAAAATATAAGTTTGGCATTGTGAGAGAGATGTGGGTAACCAATGATTGGCATGAGATACAATTACGTTCAATGCTGTCAATTGTCAAGATAAAAATATTTCCACACAGCAAAAGTTCCCAGATAACTTTGAAAATTGCGTTCCAATGAAAGCGGGCAGTAGTGAGTATGAACTTATTAAGAGTAACGTCAAGAACCAGACAATAATCGAGCATATCTAAGGAAAATTGTTTTAGGGAGCACAGAACAGTCCAAAATAAACTGATATGCTAATATATTTAATTCACTCAAAAACTTGGCAATTAAACCAAAAATTCAACTTGAATTGAAAAAGATCTGAGCATCGAATTGAGACATGTAAATACAAAAAATTTATCATTAAACATACACTTACCAATAAATGCTATGGAAATAAGACTGAATTTGTCCATTTCTAAAGCTTCATTGGAAAAAGTATCACAAAATGTTGTGTAGATTATAAGTAGGAGAGTACAGCTTCCTATTGTGCCAAATGGTGGTTTTCTTCGTTCCAACCATTCCTTGATAAATCTTCTTACAATCTATAAAAATATTATCAATATCATTCTTAAGAAAGTTGAAGAACAATAATGCTATAGTATAATCCTAATTGAAATACCTACTGGTAATAGCATTATTGGTAATTTATGACATATTAATACACTGGTCTGCTAGATCTAACTGTAATGGATATATGCAGCACAAGGAAAATGAAATTCAGATTTTACCAATATTGGTATTCAGAGTTTTGATATTCATAAAAAAAAATTTGGGATTTTATAGGAATTGTACCGTGAATGCGTAAACAATTTATCAAGATTATGGCAAAGGTAAATTAGAATAACTTTGTTCGGAAAAAACTAAAATAAATAAAAATGACATCAATTATGAAATGAATAAACAACGGGTTAACCTTACCTGTCCAATTATAATTGGCATCACAACAGTCATAAATAGTGTCACAAAGATATTCAAAAACGGCACAGCAGTTGATGATCCCATCTGTAAAATGCATATGAAAGTTCAAAATGTAATTCGAAATTTCTAATATAGTTTGATACCCACATTTTTTTGTCATATTTGAAAAGTCAAAACACCAGAGTTTGAAATTGAATTTTAATAATGCTATTTAGTATTAATATCATACTGTTATTGTAAAAATACGAGTTAGATTATCTTACAAAGATGAGCAGCAACACAGGTGTGACAACAATACCAAGAAAACTTCCAAAGGCAGAGTTGAATATTGCAGCTGCTTCATTTCCTCCTACTGATTTTGTTAATATTACTGCAGATGATACAGGAGGTGGCATGCATCCAACTACTTGCAGACTGAAAATAAAAGTATGACAAATAATACTTCAGAGTCCAAGATGAACAAGTAGAGCATAAATGTTGTGGGAAGGATGGAACGCAAAAACTGATCATCTCAAATACATTTTAAAATAATATTTTCAAATAAGAAACAAGGAATACATATTTAAAACTTGGTAGTATTTGACAGAGAAATCATGGGAGTCAATATATATTCAGTCAGTTTGAATTTGGCATGCCATAAAACGAAGATAAACTATGATTTGATTATTACTTATCGATCTTAAGATCGGTAAGTATGTTGATAGGTATTTGTCTGTCTGTTTGTATGTTTGTCTGTTAGATGAACGCGATATCTCACGAACGCGTGGTTGAATCTGCTCCAAATTTTGCATGTGCATGCATCTTACCTCGGACCAGAAGCCTATAGATTTTGGGTTAATTATGTCGTATAATTAGCAAGTTATTAACTAATTACCGATCTAAGATCGATAAGTCTTCGGTCTCCGACCGATATTCTCGTTTCTCTATATTTTTACCGTTTTCATAAATTATATGAAGGCCTTCTTGGATATACAGTTAGGCTTCAATTGCTAAAGTTTTTTTAAAATTATTTCTGAATAAAAAATTCATCAAAAAAAATAGAATTATCATATGAAAATACTTCCGAAACAATTCCATTTAGAGACCTCCGACTGAAACATAACATTTTCTATAGTTAATTCAATTCTAAGAGAAAGACAATTTTTAATAATACTTCAATTTTACATTTTGAGTGTTTTTATTGTAAATGAGATTGAGTAGCATAGGTGAGATTTTAAAACACAATCATTGTATTCCCTTCCAAGACCAATTTAGAGTAAAAGTAACTACTCAAGTAAAATGACAAGTATTGATTATATCATAGAATGTATATTTCATATTTAGAAAAATCTTACCCTTTTAGTAACCACTCATTAATCTCTGTAAGTGATAGAACCTTCAAAAACAGCCAAACCAAGCACGGTATAAAACACAAAGTGAAGGTTTGGATGAAGAAATGAAGTCTAACCTGCAAAAATTTAAAATAGAAAAATATTGAGTATTCAATTACTACATAAATCGTTGCTGTTTTCTGCAATAATGCAGGAATAAGCTATGAACTGAATGTTTGTTTTGCACTTTCAATTCTACATTTGTATGCTTGGCTGAGCCATCACTTTATATTGCAGTATTGTGAGCAACACAAAATCTCTCAGCATGTAACAGATAGTACTAAAATGATGATAATATGTTACACACAAAATTCTGTAATACCTGTTTCAGAGCACTTGTGAGTTCATCAGTTTTTAGAGACAAACCACTATTGAAAAAGATCAGTGATACTGCAATATATTTTACAGTAATTTCTGGATGAAGGGGACCTGCAATTAGAAAATAATAAAATGTACATATATTCTGCTAAACGTGATCTCTTATGGCTTTGTTATTGAAATCTGCTATGACTGGACTCGTGGCTCGAATTAACATAGAATCTAATGGTGATTTGGCATTTGAGCAACTTGGCCTGGTAGGCCCACTCAAGGTTTAGATGTTTGTGGAGACCGAGACTCGGTATAAAAATAGCTAACCAATTATTCATTCATTCATGTAAGGAATTGTACCTGAAAATTACCTGTCACCTATGAATTACTTAATGACTAGCAGATACACAAACCATCCGGTGACAATCATAAGTCATGTAATTCTATACCACACAGTCTACCTGTACTACATGAGAGCATGAAGACATGATTCAGTAATTATTTTTTCGAGTAAGTGAATTCTAATCATATAAACTAAATCTGCCAACCACAAAAATCAGGTGTAATACTGTAATAAGCAGTGCAATGTTGAAACTGTACCGTGCGGTGCGCATGAACTTATAAAATAGAAATAAATCAGACTGTATAATATTGTTACATAATATAATAGTGTTACCTCCTTTGACTCCTAATTTTGGATAAGCTTTCGCCAGAGAGATGACGACAACAATTCCAATTAAAAACCAGTTACGCTGTAATTTGTCGCGCAACATCACAATCCTGGATACTGAGGGATATGGTGCACCTTTTCGTCCTGAAGTGGTTTTAAACCAATGCATCAGATTTTGCAAAATACTCAAGTAAACTCAATAAAACATTGAATAAATAAAAAAATGATGAAAACGTGGGCGAAATTCCACGTCAATGTTTAACGTAAACATTCAAGCCCGGCGCTCCGTCAATCAGCTGACAGAACGTAAACGTAACACTCCGTGATCATTCAACCATAGAAACCGTGCGTGGATTGTCATAAAATCTTAATTTATATGAAAATTTTCATCATTCCTGAAGTAATTAATAAGTGTAAAAAATGAATTTTGAACTCATATATTTTTTAAAATATAATACGTTATGAAATGTCATTGATATGCGATTATTGATATTTGTATGACGTCATAATTAAAGTGTCATGAACTCTCGTTTTGTTGACAGTCGCAAGTCAGATGGCATCGCGTCGTAGTAAACGAGAGTTCATTCATCGCGTTGATCGAGAGATGTCTGGTGGCGGGAAAATTTCGTCGACAAAGCTTTCTTTTACATTGCCGATTTCTTGTCAAATATGTTTGGAAAAGGTACAAAATCGACTAAAATAATACTTAATGGTCATTTCGTTTACTAGTTGACACTAAATATTCAACAATTTTTTTCAATAAACGCATCTGTGATTTTATTGTTCATGATATCCACGTTTTTTAACAAATTTACCTTCTGAGATTTTCTAAATAAAAATCATGTATAATGGTCATATTTTAGAGAAATTAGCTTCTAGCATTGTGATCCTGCTTTGCTAATCACTTTAGTTTATTTGGGATGAATTGCAAGAAAAACAATTCTGAAGTAATTGATGGTTTGAATATAATTCAAATGCCAATTTCTAATGACTGATTGAAAACCAATGCCCGGAGACCTTATCATTGAAACAAAACATCATGTCATTGCTCTGCTTTATCAATAAATAATACATCAGCCAAGCCATGATTTGCTGATACCAAACCTTAAAGAACATGGCAGCTGTTATAAAAATAATGTGATCTGTGAGAATCAAGCCCTTATATCAAGCAGGATTCTCAACCTTTGTTCTCTCGTTTATCCCTTGACAAATTTCAAAAGAAAAACTTACTGCCCGAATTGTGTAGTCCGTCTATTCCTTTCGTCTTGTATGTGAAATATAAAAAAGTTACACAAGGGTATTAAATAGTCTTCGCAACGAGAGAATTTAATGACATCTACCGTAATATACGACATTGGATGTTGCCAATAACGATGCAATCTACTATGTCTGTATATGGTTAACAGCTACATTTGGTTATGTACCGTTTTGATTGTTTTCCCCAATGCAAGTCGAATTTACCCTCAGTTGAATACCTGGCCTCATATTTAGAGGAATATCGTCAGTATGTAAAAACCAACCTACTTTACGTTTTCAGGTTAAAGAACCAGTGACATGTCCAAACCAACATGTTTTCTGCAGTTTGTGTATGGAAGTTTGGTTGGAGAGAAACAAACAATGTCCAACATGCAGAGTAGATATAACTCCACAGAGTCCAATTCGAAAAATTATTGGTAAGAACATTGGAATCGGTAGTATTATATTATTACATTTTTTTCATAAAAATGTTGATAACAAGTCCTATTTCAGTGGAGCATTTGCCGCTCCTATGGGCCTCTGTTTTTTTGTTCTTTTTCTTGTTGGTTATATTATGTTCATTTTATAATTTTTTTAATTTTTTCAGGCGGAGTTCCCCAGTCACAGAGTCAAGAAATCAGATCACCAAGAACTACCAAGCATATGAGACGAGCACGGATGGAATTGCTTTTCAGAGACTATGAGGTACCTGAGACTTGATTTTAGGTTATTTTATTTCAGGTTATGTATTGTGATCAAACATTTATTGATGCTATTAAATGAATGTTATGCAATCTCGCAGCTTCACTTGTGTTGATCCTATATCTGTATATGATCATTTTCAACTTTATAACATTCTTACATACACGACGCTAACCGATGATTGTGGTCACTAACACATATTAATTTTGCTTTCATAATATGACAATTGAATAGCAGGGAAATAGATATACAAGTCTGTCGCAGGCCCAAAGTTATAAACACTGCAAACCATTTGACTGCAACTCTGTACAGTTTTAGACAGATAAACTCACTTCATTCAGACCCAGTCACTTTCATATATACAAAACTTTATGTTACAGCAAATATTCAAAATTGCACTTTTGTCAGTCATACCATAAGCTAGAAATTGATCCAAATACACATATAAACTATGTATCATAATTTTGATTAACTTGAAAGAAATTATTGATAGAATATTTGACAAAAGCATGAATATTTTGTTCAGTCTCATAACTTTTTGTTATTTTCAATTTATATCGCACCTTGCTGATTGACATCAAATTCTCAGTAATATCTTGGGCTCGATGCAAATAAGCAATAGTATGTGATTTTTCTGGTATTTCCCACTGGTAGGGAAATCTTGGACATAGACATTGAACACTGATTGTAATTCTAAGCTTGCTATGAAAATGAACATGTTTGAAAGTCTTAGAAATTATTGAATCATTTTCAAAATAGTATTTAATTTTTTGGCTCGATTATTTGGAACTTCAAATAGGGAGAGGGAATTTTTTTGCAAAATAAATTCATTGAAATCAAAATAAAGTGAGTGAAAGACAGTATCTTTTATTTTTTTTTAAATCTGTCATTTCATATGGTAAATGAAACGGGATAAAAATTATCAGAAAACTTTTGTGATTAATTTAGCTTATTTATATAATCCAGGGGTGTGCAACCAGTGGTGAGCTGTAGCCGGAACGCACCGGAACGGCGTTCCGGTTGTTAGACATTTTATTGCACTTGCGTTCCTGTTGTTAAAATAAAATTATGAATAAAAAGTCTAGTTTCTCTGGTCACCCTAGTTATTAATTTATGTTTTGTAACCCCGTAATTTGTAATTCTTTTTACATCACATCACGAAAATAATTAGTACATCAGTGACGTATAATAGATGTTTTCCCGAACCTTTGACCCCGTGAAAATTCACCTTATACCTTTCTAATAATAACATTTGTATTGAATTACTATGAATATTCTTGTAGTTTTAAACGGAAATATTCCAAATAATTTATTCGTATTTCATTGCAGTTCTTCGACTCTATCTTAGGACAGACAAAAATTTCTGTAAAGTCCGCGTCGTGTTGTGAATATATTACATTTTTTGAGAATTAGGTGCTTTCCGGTTGTTACGATTTTCCCAGCTCATCACTGTGTGCAACCCATTTCCATTAAAGCAAATTTGAAAAAATGTGATTGGGAAAAGAAAACAGCTGCAAATATTTCACTGAATTCGTTTAAAGTTGATGTAACAATATATTTGTTCAGCAGTTTTCTTCAGAAATTTATGCGTCTCTCATTTCTGCAAGATCCCCTAATAATGCCATAAGATAATTATGAAAGAAACTTTTTTTGTGCCTGCAATTAATAGGAAGCCAATGTTGGATAAAGATGCGGCCTGCAGTTTCATCCATTTATTCGTATCTGGCCCCAGGTTGCACACCCCTTGTCTAATTCATGATATATCAGGAGAAGCATCATGCAAGGCATGATAGTAATACATGCTCGATAAAATATTGTTGGAAAATTTGAGAGATTTGCCTTAAGGTTTGGCTTAAGTCACAATCCAACAATTGGTTGATCAGTCTGTGACCTCTTGATATAAGGTTATTTTTTTCCCAGTCGAGAAGTTTCCAAAGCTACTTTCTTCACTATGTTTACCTATGAGTCTATGTGTCTGCATTGTATAAGTTAAAACAACAGATTCTCATTTAGTTATTGTTTTATTTGTGGCATACCCCAGGGTATGTTTGTTAGTCCTATACTCTTCCTATTTTATAAAATACCAATCATATATGAAATTTAATTTTTTTGTTTGTTTTATTGTCCAATGAATGTAAGATGCTAAAATAAAATACAATAGAAATGATTATAATATGTTATACTCTGCTTTTGGTATTTATCAAGAGTCTTGTTAATGATGAAAGTTCGGTTTTATAGTGACACACGAAAGAATCAACATTGTGTTGCATTGAATTGCCATTGAAATTGGCCAATGAAAAGTTTAGAATTGTTTTAGATGTTACGCTGTAACTCTCCACCGTGCATTTAGTTCCCTTTAGTTCAGTTATGCTAAGGTTGCAACAGCCATGCATAATGGGGTTATTGACCTAACGTGACCTTTTGCCTTACCCAAGATTAAAAAAAAATATTAGTTGCTTTACCTCTTCCATGAAATAACTTTTTCATCAAACTTCCAAGTCATTTATTTTCTTTATTCTTTTGTACATTTTTGCGATCACCATCAAACTTTTTTTTATCATCTTCTGATTATTAGGCATTAGATTGAAAACTGCCAAATTTTAATTTAAAAGGATGAAATAAGCGAACTTCAAAGAGAGGTTGCTTGTCTCAAGCATTCTAATGATGACCTGAGAACAAAATTATCAGAAGAAGAACAAAAAAATTCAGCCGGTGTCAATATCAAGACGAAGAAAAAATGTTCAAGATGTGGAAACATGCAAGATTTAGATTCTATGCTTGAAATGGCAAAAAATCTACAGGAAGCAACCAAAACTTTTGAGCATATGAAAGAGGAAAACATACAATTAAGAAAGGTTAAATTGTTAAAAATGTAGATGGTTGAAAACTTGGTTGCGAAAATTTATATCATTGCTGAACAGAATAAATGTATAGGACATTTACAGTAAATATATTCAAGATTCAGTAATTTTCAATGTTTCAAGTTCAATTTCGGCTAATTTTATCATAGGTCTTCTGATATTCGAATACATTTACATGAAATTGTAAGGTTTTCATCAGACACCAAATGAATAAATTTATGTGTAATTAGTATTTGCTATTTCATATGCGGAAGTATTGTCTTTCCAAAACTTTTAATACTAAACTGTTCACAGACAAATGAGAAGCTTGTTAAAGATTACGATGATCTCAAGAGGCAAAATACATCAGTGAAAGAAGAGCTTCTAACGAGATCTCCAATGAAGTGAGTATATTCATGCATTCATACGGTGTGGCAAAGTCTAAATAATATTTACTAACTTATCAGAATCTGGTGTCAATTTCAAAGTTTTTGAAGTTGGAATTTTAGGTTTATCATTATTAAGTGAGGGAGTCAATATTTGCAACTATTAGCACCAAAGTACTTGTAGTTAAAATTTTGAACACATTTTGAGTCACAATTTTTGTTATTTAAATTTTCGATTGGGGGATTTTCTAGTCATGTTTAGAACTATTATTGATTCATATGTACATTATTTAAAGCATATTCAATTAAATATTCACGCTTGTTTAGGTTTGGACGTTTAACTGTGGCCACACTTGAATCAAGGATAGAAGCTTATGAGAAACAGATAGCACAATTAAACAAGGCATTGGAAAAAAGTGACACATTCACAGAAAGTTTGCAAGAGAAATTAAGGACTTGTTCCTGCAGTGCATTTCAAGGCAAACAACAATCAGAGACCGAAGTGGTTACATTAAAAGATATTGGAAACGAACCCACAGATAGTACCATAAACCCTAGTTTTGTGTATTTGTCTGGACATGATTATACTGGTACTGATCTGAATATAAGTGATTTTCAGTGTCCACCGACTGGGACAGATGTTACGGATTCAGCTGAAACATACACAATTGAAAACATCTTGCCAGATGATTTAGTTTCTCAAGCTTTTAATGTAACGTTGAATAAAAATTCTGTCGATCAAAGTTTATTTCTCAGCCAACTGGAAAACACCAAAAGTCCTTTTACACCATCGACGAAATTCAGTAGATTGAATCTCGGAACTCCGCAGAATATGCAATCAATTATTTCAGAGGAGACAAATATAACTAAAGTGCAAATTGAAAACTTACCTTCAATACCTGAAAATACTTCACAAGAAATTCAACAACAACAACAACATCTGCCCATTAGAGAACACGATTCTAGAGTCAGAAGTTTTACTGCACATACAATGCCACCTGTGGAGAGTCCTGATTACAAAGAGAAACTTGAACAAATTCAGGTGAATTGAGATTCTATCAGGGGTGTGAAATTGAAAAATGTATACCAGACTTCGAATTCCGAGCCATTTAAAAATTGATTCCTTGTTAACAAGTATTTTGACTATTAATCTTGTCCTCTGCTTCATGTGAATGAGAAAATTTTGACTCCGGCTCCGAACTCTGAGAAAAACGTATTTCACAGCAAAAAATTTGCCATATGCAGGCATTCTTTAATTGTCTGTTGGGAGCCCTTTTTTGGAATTTTTAACTTGTGTTATCATGATTAGAAGTCTGAATTTTCAACTCCCAACATGAAGGATTTGACTCTGACTCGTCATCCCTATTTTCCTCGTAAATCCCAATTTATTCATCATGCTTTGCTGTTTTAGGATAACTTGCTTCATCCTATCACAAGATCATCAAGCTCACCAGCACCAGGACAAATCCATTCGTTCAGCAGAAAATTAACTTTTGATGACAATATGCTGACAGGTATATTAGTAATTCCCAATTCATTTTTATATTGTTCATAGAGGCCGCGAATGCTAACTTGATCGGTGATGTGTTAAGCAACCTTAATAGCTTGGCATTATTACTTAGCGGAGTGTTAGTTGCTTTTGGCTGAAAAATCGATTTTTCGGTGAACTTGAATTCATAGATTTACCTAAACCACTTTTATAGTTGTGTCGGAATCAGGACAAGCCATCGAATCATATTTACATTTGCATGCACTTGCCAGAAAAAAAGATCATCAACTTGATATGACAGCCATTAAGGAGCAATATTTCAAATATAACCCATCATGATCTATTATGAATAATTGTGATTCACTCTGTCATATTTTCTATTTAATGTAAGAAAACCATACCTCATATTGTGTCTTTTGCTTGCTTTTCAGGAAGCAGAGGTGAAACGTTTGACTTGAAGCTTTTGGAAGAAAACACTGGAAGCAGCTGTGGTGATGAAATTATGATGATGTTGCATAATGAAGATAGCATTCAATCCGTTGAGCATGAACGAGGTAAAAATAGTGATGTTCCACTGAGCTGGATATTGATGATTGGTGGAGCATACTCTTAGCCTTATTGCTTCAAATGAGAAAATTAACGTTTATTTTCAAGTAAAAATATGATAAACAGTGTTGAGAGGAGGCAGATATTTCTTTTCACAAATAGTTTATATCAGTGGTTCCCAGCCAGAGGGCCTCAATGCTATATGCGCCAAATTAATTATAATGAGATTCGGTTTGCATACTTTTCCCTTCAGAAAAAAATTTCCTGTTCTGGTTCCCATTTTTGTAGTTTCATTCATGGCTGATACAGGGCGTTTTCACTTTCTTATTCATGAATTGTATGATCGTAATAGAATTAACAACATAAATACTTTGATGCTCTGCGAATTCGAAGTACGGTAATTGGTTGTATATTAAACCCCTTCGACTTTTGGCCTTGGTTTGTTTTTATATACCATAAAAAGTGGTAAATCAATAATATCCTTGAGTGCGTTGAATTTTTTGATGTTGTGAACAGGGGACTGCTAAAAGCCTCACTCAGGAAGGGGCCACGAAAGGTTGGGAACCACTGGTTTATACCTCAATTTTCGGGAAAATTATAGAAAATTCAATACTGTAAATCTGTAATACCTTCACGAACATCAGCCTGGCCCGTCAGAAGTTGTGCTCATATATATAAATAATATGTGATCCTAATATATTTCAACTTCAACTTTCCAAAGTTGCAATAGTTTCTCACTTGCAATGGTGCTGATGATTAGATTTGCCGGTATTTGACTAAAACCCAAGTAAGATCAAGTTCACAAGAATTCCCAACAGGAATTTAAAGAAGTTTTGCATTACCAAAGTTTTGGGCAAAATTTGATTATTTTCGAGTGGAGAACTAGAATCAAAATCAAACTTTTTGTCAACGTGGGTTTGGAAGTGCACTGGTTGTCGTTTTAGTAAAGTTTTGTGTCAGTCTGTTAAGTTTTTTCCCAAATCCACAGCCCAGGGCAAATAGCACGTGTTCATAATTAAAATGACAACAACATAATTATAGGTTACAAAGGTTAAAACTATTTTTGGATATATTTCTTAGATTCAAGTAGAAGTCATGATGAGCTTAGATTTCTTCGACCACAATCAGTGTTGAGAAATGATGACAACTTGTTATTTGGTTCCAATGAATTAAATGAAATGTCATCAAACCCAATATTAAGTAGTGGACATTATCAATCTGATCAAAATATTCACAAGAAGCAAGTTCCATCATTAAGACGTGAAGGTAAGTGGCAACTGTTTTTTTCATTTCTTCAGTTATTGGTTATTCACTTATGCTCAAGTTTTAAATACTTACCAGACTTGGGACTGGGAACCAGAAGAGAGACTGTTTCACTATCTGATTTAGAATATTATCAGGATAAATCGTAATAATTCTAAAATATGTGTATCGTACCAATGCAATGATTTATTGTTGTACTTTGCTTATCATTTACTAGTTTCATCATCGGTAATCGAAGCTGGAAGTTCAAGAATAACAACTACAAAATTATCTCAAAGTGATCGAGATATTTTCACTCGTCCAAGTTCAGCACCAAGTCGAACATTTCTTTTAAGCGGATCACGCTTCTCAGCATTACGGCCTATCGATCCAATTGGTGCTCAAGATAGTGGAGAGTTATCGCAGTTTCAACCAGTCAAATGGTAAATATTCAATATAATAGAGTCGTTTGGTTAATCGATCAAGATGTGTGGATTTGAATGGGGGGAGGCCTTATATGAGCACAGTTGCTTGAACTACTATTGTTGGACATCCTTCTACAAATAGATATGGTAGGCTTGATTTACCACATGAATCAGTAACATCTCCAAATGTGTGGACATGACATTAGTATTTTTTGGATTGTTTGCAAATGGTTTCTAATAACATGATGTTTTAGGTACTCTGTGACTCTCTCATTATGCTAGTTTTATGTTTATGTAAATAATAAATTCGTTTTTTTTGTGTAAAATTTTCAAAGCAAATCTCCGAGTCCTCTCTCACTGAGAAAATTGCAGCCTAGTCCTCAGAAGAGAAATTCAAATGTTACTCCAAAGAAAGAAGCAATCAGATGCGTAGTAGATGGGAGGTAGGTAAATCATTATCTGGTGTCTATCTTTTTTGTTCTGGTTGAAATTTATGAGAAGTATCATCTGACTTGTCTCAGGAGTATGCTTGGAACACTGTTCAATTTCAATAGCAGATTTAGTGTTTCAATGTATTAAACGGCATAGAAGAAACTGTAATTCGCAGTTGTGGGGATATATATAAAACATTTTATGTCATTGACAAATTTGTAACTTGCTAATTCGAAATTGTAGCCTCATATCTATCAATTCATTAACGCTTCATATGATTTTAGAGCTGCCAGTCCGATGCTGCAACTTGTGTCACCTGATGATGTCATGGGAACTAATTGGAAGCAGACAACATGCCATGGTAAATATTTTTGTTGATGGTCTCCCCAGAAATTTGAAGCACTTTCTATTGATGTAACTTTTTATTTTATTGATGAGGGATTATTGACTTATCAGCCTTTTCATTTACATTTATCTGACTGGATTTTGTCAGAGGCTTTGGGTCACTATCGTGGGAATTAATAACATGAAATTTAATAGAAGAATGAGAAAATTGTTTGAGATTCTTTTGTGAGGGTTTAGCCAGTTAGGCCTATATATTCTTTCAACGATTAATTTAGCATTTTTTACGACTCATATTCACGCTTTTCGGTTTGGTAATTTGCGATGCTAACACAGTTGAGTCTAACATGTTAACCGCTGTCATTCATGTACCTTGTGCGTTTCATGACTCTTGTATATTTCAAATTCAGCACGAAGCATTAGTGTTAGCAGTGATACATCGGCTCATTACCATGGAAATCAAAAAACAAAAGATGCAATATCAAGAATTGCAATTTTAAAGAGAAATAATTCCGGAAAGGTAAAATAGGGTGTGGTGCTTTCATAGTTACAAGTAGCCAATGATATTCGATTCATATCTTACTAATGATAAAGCGAGCGTTCGTATGAACGAAAATAACTTTAAATGAAGCAGTATCTGTGTAAGAATCATTATCTAAAAAACTTTTGTTATTATTTTTAACTTTGTTTGACAAGGTTTCAGTATTGGACGATAACTACTGACAAACCATACCAATGCATTTCAAATATTTATTGTGGTAGCTATTTACATATTGAATCTTGACTGGTAACAGGATGAGAGACCTAGCATAGCTACAACTGCTCGCATTATTACTTCACAGCATCATTAATCAGAACTTTGATAGCTGATTGTAATTTCATAAACAAAATACAGATGCTGCCAAAATTTTATATTGTGATACTTTCACTGCTCCAAACTACCCAAATTGACATCAACCGCTGACATTTTTGTTTTATTCAGCCATTGTCATTTTCCGCAAGTTTTGACTTGCCAAAATCACCAACCATTCCACCATCATCCTTACAAGTTGACGATTCAGCGACAACTTCATCGACTTCTCGCAGAAGTTCTCGAAAACAATGCTTAAATGATCCAAGTACTAAACGTGTTGGTGATCACTCTCTTGAATTTACAAGTCCAATTAAATCACCAAAAATGGAAAGCAAATGGAATTGGAATCGATGATATCTTTGTTCATTTTATTATTCACTAGAAATTTGTAAAAAAGAAGAAAATAAATTCAGGTTCAAGAATGGCCTAACTAAACGTTTTTTAGACATTTATCATTTTTAAAAATGAGATGGAATAAATAATAGTTCCATATCATTTGAAATTCAAAAAAAATAATGCTAAGATATGGCCATATTACTGCTTTATACTTAGTATAATAAGTATTTTTACTCCATATTCAGAATAGCAGACAATAAAATAATTGAAAAAAAAACAATGTGAATAATGCTGATTACAGAATCGAGAAAGAAACTTTTTTACAAGACTTAAATATTTTAGACATTTTGTCTGCATTCTATGTAACATGTTCTTTGTTTATATACAAGTATGTGGCAATTCGATTTTTTTTTATATAGGTAATATGTCACGGAGAATAATTGTTCTTGATACCTGTATATGTTATTTTCAATGATTTGATAAGTCTAGATAATATTGGAACGGTCATTTTAACCTTTTTATAAAGTATACTTGTATCGCTGTTCAGCAGTTTTAATAGACATTATGACAATAAGTTGTGAAAGTGTTGAATATATCAAATGTGTTGCTCATAATATTGCTGTTATCATTTTTGCTGATACACTCTTTGTATTTATCTATTTTTACTACTTTTTTATCGATTACTATTTTTCTATCCATTGCAGTTTTATCAAATTTTAGATCTAGTAGTTTTTAACAATGTTATTTGGCAAAATATTCTTCTGTCTATTGTCAAGCAGTTAACTTTCCAGTATACACATTCAGGTTGAAGTAGATCTCTCTCATTTTATTAGTGTTTCTATAACATGTATTTGGAGGCTTCAATGTGGGTTTCTATCGGGAAACATGTATTTGGAAATTTTTAATGTTATCTTCTATTTTTAATTGTAACAGATTCATTTAATAATTATTGAACTGATTGTGGATGCATAACATGTAGCAAGTTAAACAACCCCACTTGGCGGGGACTTTTTCACAGTCTATAAAATCTTCTAGTCGGTGAAGCAATCTGTGACAAATACAGAATTTTAATAAGCTGCTATGTAGGAAATATAGAAAAAAAAAAACAGTTAAGAACACAAATCAGTTCTGTTGTTTGCCTGACTAATTACTATTGGGCTCGATGAACTCTGTTGTTGTTGTTAATTATAGAGCAAGGCCGACCTCTTTGCCTAACCTTTCACATTTTCAGTTTTATTGATCATTTATTTCAATACATTTTTTCCATCTGTTATCACTTCATTGCGGTTTGAAAATAAAATTATCATCCAAGGTTTGAATTGGCTGTAACGGGTCAGCTATTTAAGGATAGATGTATTTTTTTTACATTCCACACAATTTAGGTATGTATTCTGAGGAGTGACGAGCAGTAGCTTCTAACTCGTGAGTCATGTTGCATATATAGTAAATCTATGACTAGGAGGAATTTATCAATCCGAGCATATGAAAATGGGCCGTTGAGAATTAATATTAACATATCCCCATCGCATCAGTGAGATAAGACGACTCACATTTTGGGACAGCTGCATTAATTGAATACAGTTAGATACCAGGCATGGTCATAACCATATCATAGAAAACAATCGCAACTGAAAAATTTGTATATTTATTAGAATGGTACGAAGAAAAATCAATCAAAAAGATCAAGCCTATAGTTTAGGCAAGAATCGATAACATTGGTGATCGGTACACAAAACAATACATGAGAAATCATGCATTCAAGACAAAATGACTATTCTAGTAAGCAATATGGAAAAAAAATAAACAATTTTAAATTGGTCTCAGGCATATATACATCTTTGTGTCAAAGATACATATTAGTGAATGAAAATCATGCAATAACAATGGTATATATAGTGGATATAGCCCATATGTTTTTGCTTATAATGGAGCTTTTTTCCTCAAATTCGTAATCCAAAGTTAAAATGTAATAGAAATGGAGTCTGGATGAGATAGCCAAATTCCCAAAGGGCCCACCAGACAAAATGAAAATTTCCCTGTGCAGAAAGATGTAATAGTGTCATCCATTAGTATAATTTATATTCCACTTCACTTGTATTTCAAAAAAAGACAAATCGAAATGCTAACTTCTTTACACCGTAGGAATGGTATTTAGTTTAAATAGCGCAAACAAAATATTGAACTTCTCTCATATTATACTCACCAAAATAAGAATAACCTATCATGCATTTGTACGTGGAAATCATTATATATATGTATTGTTCGTACACATATATTGTAACAGTACACTAGTAATTATTAATTCTGATATAAATATGAAAACTAGAAAATATATAGAAATGATGGGATATAAAAAGAGTGGATTCAGTACAACTGGTTAAAGACAAGAACAGAAAATATCAAATACTCCCAAATTAAAGGATGTCATCATAATGTTCAAAAACATTTTACATTTGGAGGGATTTCTAAATTTTGTTTCCGGACTTAAATAAGTAGAAATATCAAATTCATGTGGACAAAATCTTGTGCATCTGCCACACTATATAACTATATTTCAGTACAAAGACCTAATTAATATATGACCTGATATATATAGCTTATATATATGGACAGCTGTAAAGTGATATACACTTCTTGAAATAATTAACATGAACTACCTATCATGAGCTCTAAATCAGCTTTTTAAATATGTAACTAGCTTGGTCTGAGTTAAAGAAATTATATGGTCATGGAAAGAGATTATACCAATGTCAGAAGTTGAGCAATATGTAGGGCTGGGTATTTTCTAATACCTGATGATTTCATAATCGAATCTTCAATATTTGGAGGATGCATAATTGCATGTATCTTTTTTATTGTAATGAGTCATCCACACATAAATTACTGAAAACATAGAATACTGAGCCAGACACAATAAAAAAAACATGTTTCACCACTAACTCACTGTGAAAAAAAACAATCTTATGTCAGAATTACATTAAAAAAAATTTAGTTTGAACCGATTCAAATAATTTATTATTCGATTCGAAATGCCAGCCTTAGTAATGAGTTTGTTAGCTATTCTTGCAGCAACTCGTTTGAATGTGTGAATCGATTCAAATGAAAATTAATATTACCAGTGGCTAAAACATGGATTGACAAAAATAAAAATTGGCCTGATTTGATAAATTGCTTTTAAAGTGAGACATGCTTAATTTATTTAAACTCAGTGCTAAAGAATTGACATCAACATATTATAAATAGTAAACAGAAATAAGACAATTCAAAATAAAAAAAGCTTCTTGTTATCATATTTTGTGAAGATAATCCATTGTAGAGAATTACATTCTGAACTGTATGAGAAAAATAGAATGTGACACAAGTTAGACCACCGGTTCTCAGCCATTGGATAATGGCCCACTTCTGGGCCACAGTAACATTTTCAAGTGGGTCGCAAACCAATTATAATTTGCCAAAGTTATAGATTAATCATTTATACTTGTAGTAACAATGAATGATGATACTGTTTTGCAACAGAGTGGTAATTCTCATTTTATCTATTGTCTCTATCTGTACGTAAAAAATTTTTTCTTTGTTTTACCTGTCGTTTTTTCCTTGCATTAGTAAGTTAATGGGCCAGAGTATTTTTTGTGCACCAAAAGTAGGCCACGAAAGAAAATAGGGGCCGAATTCATTGCAGGGCTATTAATAATAATCATATTAGAAGTCTATGCTTTGACGAACATGTCTATATCTTCAATAAAAATAACAGATGATTTATTGCAGGAGACTTTTGTTATATTAACGTTGATAAAGATTTCACTTTACGCTATTGCTTGGTGTTTTTACAACATGGTTGCCGACATGTTTTCCATGTCCACCATGTTCATTCGGAATAATATTGTTCATGATAGAATGATTTGTCTCGTTGCGGCCTTTCAGCGAGAATACTTCGTGAATTGAATTTTGGAGGCAGTGAATGTTGTAATCGATTAGACCTGATGAGTAAAACAAAAATATTATTATACACTTTTATTACCTTACGTCTAATTGTTCCCCTTGCCATGCAGTTGCTGTCAATAGAATGAATTTGAAACTATACAACTGCTAAACAGAACGTATATATAACAGAATTTAGATTGTGATATTCATTTTTAACAAGTTCCGCTTTTCTTTCTTTTCAAATATTCAGTCATTTCAAGTAACTGAATCCTGAAAAAACACATATTTTAAACATATTATTATGCTTTTGCCCAAATTAAATTTGCACTGTGCAAATAAAAAACTCAAAGCAAGAAAAATTTTATTAAGAAGAACCAAATTTGTAATCGTTCTGCTTTTTTCAATTTTGACATTCCTATCATGATGATCCTACCTCTTTTTTTGAAAGATTCCTCTCTTAGAATTGAAACGAGAACTAAGAATCTTGTGACTTCTTGTAAGTAGAGAACAGTTGAATTATTCAATCTAATAATACACGCTGAATCCATCTTACATGCACATTCACTTTCTTCGCGTCTGTGACAAAGCAAAACAGGTCATATCACATGTGTGAGTCAATAGCGCAAATGTGGAGAATACAATTTGTCACATACAATTGATGGAGATCATTTTAGGTTTTTCAAACAAAATATATTGATTTATTATGATTTTCCAGTGATCAGGACATAATAGAAGTTCGACTTTTTTAATTAGTTTTGAAGTCGAAGTTGTAAACAGGAATTCTAGACTTAATGGTCAAAGTCAAAACCGAAAAGAATTGTAATTGAAAATAAAAAAGGTTCGCAGTTATCAAAGTTGATCAAAATAAGACTTCGACATCTTAGAGACGGTAGCTGGAGTCAAAGTCAGATATTTTTTGAGACTGTAGTCGGGAAATTAATGATTTCCAACATAGTGTCAGCATTGGAACCCGTTTGAAATGTAAGCATAAATATGTTAATGATACAAATTGGTGAGACCCTGTCAGATGAAAAGTTGTTCAGAGGCAGAATTGGCAGAATCACTGAATATCATCTTAAAAAAGAAGAATATTCCAATAACTTGATACGTGTTCTAATAAACTCACCCATAGATACAACTCATATCTATCATAACATCAATCATTTCACAGCATAACTCGTAAGATTGCATGTCCACGGGTGAACTGTCTGTAGCAATATAAATCTTGCTGACAACATCAAATAGGAATGATTTTTCTATGCCAGAGTTCTGGAGGATTAAATAAAAAAATGAATATTATTAATATAAACAATGCATCATCTCTTAAGCGATGGGTTCACGCTGTTAAACCGAATCTGCTTAATATGCAATTGAGAAATACCATGGTATATTTCATATAAGCAAGTTTGATAAAAATTAATTTTATTTTGTCGCATTAAACTGAAATAAAAATTTGTTTGGAATGAAAATAGAAGGAAAGATGTTCCAAACACACATTTATATATTTTTACACATATTTTGCCAGTATAAGCTTCGCTTTTATATATTTAAAGTTTATGCAATTCAGACAATTAAACGATTGCACAGCGATTCCTCGGGCCTCTGGGATGTTTGATTGGGGTTCCGCTACACCAAAAGGTTGATAACCACTGGTCTGATATATGCAACAAAAAATTACTTCGGTGCCAGTAGAAGTGTTTCATATATTTCTTTACTTCTATCAAGATCCTGAATCCACCCACAATTTATTTTCAATTAAAAGCAATGCCATGTCATAACATGTTAATTACATTTAGGCGCTTCAGAAGTATGTGTACCAATATGGAGGTAACTAATTTTGTTCGCCTACTTTACATATGGGCAGGGGATATTGAATTATTGACTCGGCTAACACAAACAGTCCCGAACTCGTAATAGAACTAAAATAAGAAAAATCGGAATAAAATTAAGGCCTAACCTTAACCAGGTACACATACTACGAGAGTACCTATATTTACATTATTATCACTCAAAAATAAATGAAACTACATACCGATATAAATACATTGAGTAGATTTTCTAGAGTCGGAAGCTGAGGAATTAATTTCTGAACAACCTTACTGAACGCTTCGAATATGGAGTGATCGTAAATTGACGTCAAATAGAAACTGTAAATAATTATTATATACATCGAATTGTGAAAGTATTTTAGACAAAAGTATGAACTATTAGAAGAATTTATTTGAAAAAAAATTTAAATTGAATAAGTAAAAAATTGTTTTTTAATACTTATTCTTACATGATACAGGGAAAGGATAAAATTTTAATCTCTCCCAAAATTGAGAGATAGTGTTGCAAGTATTTTTATACATATCGCTTGTCCAGACAACCGCACAGTATTTTAGAGTCATATCTCTACAAAAGGCTGTGGTTTACAATCTTCACGTAGTATACTAAACCGTAAAAAAGTTAGACCAAACTAATATAGGCCCTGTAGTACTACGGTATACAACAGATAAGACCAATTCAAAGTCGCTCTAATACCTTAGATGAAGCCTTTCTATTGCCGCTTCATGTAAATCTTCGTTGGCACGTTGATGAATTTCACGTTGTGTATCCATCTTCTGATCATCAGACAATCCATCAACTTTATGGATGAATACTTCAAATTTTATATTTGGATTGCACTGTCAAAAACATGGAAAATTTAGCAAAGAGATCGATACATTTTTTTGGGGTCAAATAAATAAAGAGTAAACCCCCATTATATTATGAAGTAGGGATATTAAATAGCGAAGGAAATGTACCATTAGTGTCTGATTATATAAACAAGTTTAGAAAACTCGAGTCTAATTTGATTAACATGGAGACCCCCCAAATTACCAATACTAACCAACCTTTTGACTGAAATATAAATCAAAATTTGTGATATCAAAAAAAACACATGGTTAACTGCCAATTTATAAAACAATTGAGATCAGGATTGCTTTACATTTTACAATGCGAAAATCTTGCATCATCATGGCATATCTAGAATTTGAAATTTAAATAATTGGCAAGATATTTGAACAATAAACAATTAATAAAGCAATAAGTAAATTGTGTTTATTACCTTGAAAGCACGAGTAACAGTTTTGTGTAAACATACAAGAGCATCCATATAGTCATCCTAAAAAATGAATAATCAACATCTTGAATATATATAATAACAAAATTTTTATCTTAACCATAGTCTGAAAATCCATATTGTGATAAATATTATTTCAGAAAAATACAGTTTTGGTTATATGATTTTTCTCAAAACAAAGCAAAAATTTTGATACAAAGATGCAGAAAAACAAACATCGAAAACAAATATTAAAATTAAATCTTATACATCTTCAAAAAATAAACTAAAAATCTATTGTTATTGTATAATCTTTAAGACAGGTAGGTAACTCTGTGAAGTAGGAAAATGAGACAGACAAGAACTAATATAGAAATCTTGATTCAACAATATCAATATATGTATTTATATTAGATGTAGATATTTATATTATTCGCTGACATTGAATATATCAATGAAACTGTTTAATTGCATTGTAATATATGCTTAATATTTTTTTTCTATAAGAAATCTTATTCAGCATAATTTCATGCACTGATCAAAGTACAGTTATCAATCTATTACTGATATTGAATTATTCACTTCAGAACTAAAATTAATTTTTTATTATGTGTTAAAACAAGGAAACAAAATACAATTTCAACAGCAATTTACTGATAGTTGAAAAATTTATTTATGACAATGAATATTTGTTGTAAATATTTTCTATGAATAGCAAAGCAAAAGTATTTGACTGTCAAAAAATTGAAAACGTATAATACCTGCGCATCTATAACAAAAATTAAAGCTCCGGCCATTCCGAATATCATTTTCAGATCGAATGCAGGGTCAAAATAGTCGATTTGTCCAGGAATATCCCAGATTTGAAAGTTGATAAACGAATCATTTGAAACGTCATCTCGAAATATTTTCGGTGTAGTTTCCAAAAAGAGAGTTTCATTTGGTGCAACTTTATGAAAAACTACCTGCATATGAAATAGAGTAAACTAAATATTGAATATAACAGTACTATAATATTTAGAAGGTAGAAGCGGTCGGCCTCAACATAAAGAGAAGATTATTGAGAGATGTGATCACAGAAAGGATGAAATGTATATATTGAGTAGGGCACAGTTCTCTGATTCAAGATGTATTGACAGTTGGTTTAATAACACTTTTTCCATGAAACAAGGGCATTTGGCACAAAGGCAGATGCTTCATAATGAGCCATGCTTGTTGCGGTAATAATTTGAATCAATTGCGAAGTGTGTTGGCCGTCATATGACCAAAAATGCGTTTTTCTGCTCAAAACTTTCGAATGCTACCGCAAATTTTTCCTCCGAGAATCCTATGGTGTCGTTTTTAGATTGAGCTTCCTTTTAGTGTAAGTTTACCGGTATGGAGGCCCAGACTGTCTCGTAACGGAGGGGCTTGCACTCACTGTTATAATCGATTTATTTTATTGTGGGGAATATTCTTTAAATCGGATAACTGTGCCGTACTGATAGTGATTTATTCTTTTCTACTGTTCTAACTTAGAGTAGACATGAAGGTATGGTGAGACTTGAAACAATTCGTCAACACTGCCGTTCAAATTAGAGAAAAATTCAGGGTCTCCCTAAAACCAGGCACTTGCGAATTCAGGCACTTTTTCAGGCACCATTTCAGGCACTTTGATATTTTTTATTTTTACCGTACGTCATTGGGGTTTCCAATTTACCTGACAAGATAATTAGACTTTAAATAATTTTTTGCATCCCTATATTGCAATAAAACAATATTATTTCCAATTTATTAGGGTATAAATAATTCTTCAATAGTAAAATGTGGCAACATTGATTACAAAATATAGAAATCAGGCACTTGTTAAATTTCGGGCACTTGGTCAAAACCTATTTTACAATGTATCTGATTACTCTAAAGCAGAAAATTAAATATATACACTTTGTATGGTTGAATTTACAACATTTTGGTAAAATACAATACCGTTTGTGACTGATGGAGACGTGTCATATTTCGCAAGTGCCTGATTTTTCATTTTTCTTGGTGACAGTTGCCATTGTTTTTAGCAATTATTTTCTTAAATTATTTGCGTCAGCACTTACTATTCTTTGCTTTCTAACGCAAATTCATTGTTCCACAACAATTTGAGCGTTTTTAATAATGCAATGAGCAATACCATTTGACAATATATGGTCAACCATCGTACTTTCTGGATTTATTTGAAATTGATTATGAATGATAAAATCTGGCAACCACAAGCACAAATACTAAAACCAGGCACTAGTGAAATTTCAGGCACTTGGTAAAAACCAATTTCTCGGTGTTTTTACTTACTTTGAAGCAGAAAACTAAAATATACACTCTTTTGTATGATTGAAATGACGTCTTTTTGGTAAAAATCAAAAACGATTGGGACTGGTGATGAGGGGTCAAATTTCGCAAGTGCCTGATTTTTCATTTTTTTCGATAACGGTTGCCATATATTTTCACAACAATTTTTCTAAATTATTTGAGTCAGAACTTACTAATCATTGCTTTTTAAAGGAAATTCCTAGTTCTACAACAATTTCAGCGTTTTTAATAATGCAATGAGCAATATCATTTGACAACATATAGATAACCATCGTACTTTTTGGATTTATTTGAAATTTAATAGGAATGATAAAATCTGACAACCGCAAGCACAAAATACTAAAATCAGGCACTTGTGAAATTTCAGGCACTTTGTAAAAAACTATTTCCCGATGTTTTTGATTACTTTAAATCCGAAAATCCAGATATACATATTTTGTATGACTGAATTTGGTATTTTTATTGTCCAAAACTAGAAGAACTATCACTGGTAGGAATGTGGCAAGTTTAAAAAGTGCCTGATTTTTTGGTTTTGTCAATGGTAGTTGCCATATCTCTATAATTTTTATTTTTTTTTTCATATGTTGTTTCCCTATTGCATTATTTTAGAAAAGTCAATGTTTGTATGAGAGCTCCCCTTCGCATAAATGGAATTAAACTTTTATCATCAGTATTTACATCCGGAAATCGGTATTTAATTAAACCAATCACGCTTTTGCAAAACTATTTGAATATTGTAAAGTTTGAATGACATTGTGTTGTTTATTTTTATTAATTCAAAAGTATGACATATGTATTATTTAAATACGGGTTTAAATTTGACAGATCTGTAGGGAATATTAGTTATTCAGACGACATCTTTATAGTAATGTTCGGAACCCTTGAAATTGGTTCAAAACTTCTTCTAATTTGTTATAAACATTTCGACGTAATATATTACCCAGGTAGTAACAATCGCATCGTTATAAACAACCTAATTTGTCTTCTGGCAATATTAGTTCAAAATTCCAGTTTTAATTGTTATCGGACGACGATTTTAATAATGTAATTTGGCCTACGACTTCATATAAACTACATAACAGAAACAATTGACTTATGTCGCAGAGAATCTTTTATAATACGTATCCAAGTCACATTATCCCCTAATAGAACATAATTTACCGTTCACAAAATGTATAAAAGCCTGTGCAAAATCTATATTGACAACCAGCGGTGTTCAACCACGGCTATAATAAAGATATTCGATCACTTGCTGTTGCTGTTGTATAATATTTTTTACAACCTGAAGATCTGACTGTAATATCTTTTCATGGATAGTTTATGGAATGGATTTCATGGATAGTTTACGTAGAATTATGTGTACATTATTTCATGCTGTAACAGCTAACTGTAAAACACGTAGTTCCTAAATAAGAAGAATGGCTACAGGATGGTAAATACGAGATGGCAATGTCACCTAAACAAAATTCGCTCGGCGAATGACATCAGGTAGCTGATATGCCCAAAGTTAGGCTTAAAAGCATCGTTAAACGAATGTTACAATAAAAATCCTTCAATATTCAACACGCCGGTAGTCAGCCAACGAATTTTTTTGCGTTATTCAAAAAGTTGCAAATATATAAAAACGTAAAACAGTAATTGTTTTTAATGTCACAGAAGCCGTATTAAACTCTCGATTATAGATCTTTCTCCATCAGTAATTGGGGAATTAAATTTAAATTTATTAGGGAGATAAAACATTAAAAACACAACTTCACAAAGAAAGTGTATGAGTGAACACTAATTGAAGCTTTCAGTTTGAAAATTATTAGAAATATTGAGTATTCAATAAAAATCCTTACTATTTGTTCTATTTTGACATGATATGATTTGCGTATCTTGCAATAAAGTAAAACCACAGATCTAAGAATTGAAAATTTTAAATGTCAGTTCTGAAATTAAACATGAAAAGGTTTTGTGTATATTTTGCTACTTTTATAAGTCGGGCGTATAGTTACTTCATGTCGCGAATGAGCATCAGAATAGGTTGTGCAGAAAATGGTGCTCCCGTAGTATGTGCACAAAGTTGGCACACAACCCGAACATAGTATATGTACAAAGATAGAGGTATTAGGTTGTGCGCCATCCTGGAGCACATAGGCTACTACGGGAGCGCCCTGAAAATACCCACATTTGCAACACCGACTTACCAAATACAAATTTTACACTTCCACAATTTCGCTTTCGATACTTTTTCACATGTATCATGATACCAACGCTAGCAAACGCAGCATTAGTATTGTACGTGCTCCCGTATACATTACGCAATTTAACAGACACTCCAATTATTATTTTCCAGAAAGCAAAATTCATGCATCGGAATGTCATAGTATATGAGTGGCTACGATGCAGTGCGACAACGTCCCAAATGTGATTGAATTTTTTTGTCTCCGCCTTGTTCAATCTTTCATCTGGGCGTTTTGAAGAGGTATGTACTCACTTCAAATATAAATACTTGCACCACCTTCGGGCAGACGTCGAATTGAAATTAGCGATAAGAATAGCACTCAATATACATCGGATTGTCTTAAAAAACATTTTACCGAGAAAGAAAAGTATAGTAAGTACTAAGTTCTGACGAAAATGATTTTATGAAAAGTATTGCAAAAATATATGGTAACTGTAATCGAAAAAAATGAAAAATCAGGCACTTGCGAAGTTTGACCCCTCATCACCAGTCCCAATCGTTCTTGTTTTTTACCAAAAAGACGTCATTTCAATCATACAAAAGAGTGTATATTTTAGTTTTCTGCTTCAAAGTAAGTAAAAACATCGAAAAATAGGTTTTTACGAAGTGCCTGAAATTTCACAAGTGCCTGGTTTTAGTATTTTGTGCTTGTGGTTGCCAGATTTTATCATTCATATTCAATTTCAAATAAATCCAGAAAGTACGATGGTTGACCATATATTGTCAATGGTATTGCTCATTACATTATTAAAAACGCTCAAAGTGTTGTGGAACAATGAATTTGCGTTAAAAAGCAAAAAATAGTAAGTGCTGACGCAAATAAATTGAGAAAATAATTGTGAAAAAATATGGCAACTGTCACCAAGAAAAATAAAAAATCAGGCACTTGCAAAATATGACACGTCTCCATCAGTCACAAAAGGTATTGTATTTTACCAAAATATTGTAAATTCAACCATACAAAGTGTATATATTTAATTTTCTGCTTTAGAGTAATCAGATACATTGTAAAATAGGTTTTGACCAAGTGCCTGAAATTTCACAAGTGCCTGATTTCTATATTTTGTAATCAACGTTGCCACATTTTACTATTGAAGAATTATTTATACCCTAATAAATTGGAAATAATATTGTTTTATTGCAATATAGGAATTCAAAAAATTATTTAAAGTCTAATTATCTTGTCAGGTAAATTGGAAACCCCAATTGCCAATGACGTAAGGTAAAAATAAAAAATATCAAAGTGCCTGAAATGGTGCCTGAAAAAGTGCCTGAATTCGCAAGTGCCTGGTTTTAGGGAGACCCAAAAATTCATTTTGATGGTGTTGAAGACTTTACTAGGCTATGTGATTCGAGTCATCTCAGCGAAAAGACTAGACTCGTCTATTGTCAAAGAAAATTTTGGGAGAGTCTTTGAACTTGAGCTAAATTATTCCTGTATTTATCAAAAAAGAAAACGCTGAAACACACTAACTTGATTGCTGAGTTGTTTTGAACTATACAAACCTTTTGAATTGAAGATTTCCCACTTCGTTGCAAGCCCATTAATAGAATTCTCGGTTTCTCACTGCCTGCCGCACTTGCATCCCCGTCATCGTCAGATGCATAAGTCTTGCTGTAAGATCCAACTGGAACATTGTGGGGCTCTCCCGGATCCATATCTGGCTTCTTAACGACCTCACAGTAATGTACGGTAGTTAATTTTATTGGTCCATAGTTTGTTTTAAACCAAATGCAGGTTTACAAAGAAATTTGCCGAACAAACCTCGAAGAAAACGTAAAATTTTCAAGCTATATTCGGTGTTCACTAATCTGTGACCAGACAACTCGTGATCGCCGGGTCAAAAGTTCACATTTTCGCCTCGGGTCATTGGGGGTGGAAAGAGTCCAACTGCTTATTTTACAGTCACTGTCTATTCTGAATATGTAATTGATTTATATCGAAATCATTATTCAACCTAAACGGAAAATAAATTCAATCGTTGTTTAATTACACCCGGATAATACTGGACTTTCCGATGTCATAGATTGGTTCATTATTTCCAAAGTGACTATAGTCATAAAATATGAAAGATTGCCACCAGGTAAACTCATGTTGATAATAAATAAAGCACAACCGGTGTTAGCAAAACGAATGGAACGTCAGCAAATTGTTTTGCTAACACCCAACACCGGTTGTGCTTTATTTATTATCCCATATCATGGGATTGGTTAGTCAGTTATTTGTTTCCAGATACATGGGCTTGATGGTGCAGGAAGCCGTAACTGATCAGGGCTTCGTGAACCACCGTACCTCGGCGAGGAGTCCAGCAATCTTCTCGCACAAAATTATATGCACACGGGATTCAACCTTCGAACCCACGCAGGGTAATCAGGGGTGCGGTGGCAAGGGGATTCCGCGGAAATCAAAAACCACAGGTTTATAACGACACAGCATAAAAAGTCGCATTCATTTTATAGAAGCAATAAAACGCAGCAATTTTTATGCGATGAAGTCACAAATTAACATGTGAGTACAAAAACACAATTAAATCGTTAAAATCCTGATGCAAAAACTGGTTATGAGGGGATTCCTCGAAAATCAATGATCATAGGTTTATAATGACACAGCACGAACAGTTGCATATATTTTATATAGGCCATCAGACGCATCAATTATTATGCGATGAAATCACAAATTAACATCGTGAGCACAAAAACACAAATAAATCCGCTATTTGTCACTGAGAAATCCACATGGATAAGTCAAGAAAATTTAAATGAATACAGTGTGGGCATAACATAGTGAACAGAAATATTACAATAATCTGTACATCTGAGATTCATCCGACCGCCTACAGCTGATCAAATTAAATTGTTACGTCATGGAGACGTCTGCGTTCATTGGCCACTGTTGCCGAGAGAGATGGTAACACATATTTCTTGTGGTAAAAGCGTTTTTTTCGTAAAACGTGCAATTTCTGGAAATGGGAACAACCAGTGGTGGGATTCAAATTTTTCGTCAGCTGGTTCCTTCACAAAAGTTACATTTTTCAGCCGGTTCTGTTACAGACAGAACATTGACAGTAACCAATAATGCTAACCGGTTCGCTGATCTCAGAAAATTCCGTAAGACGGTTCCATAGAACCGGTGCGAACCGGCTGAATTTCACCACTGGGAACAACGTTATTTTTGTTACTAAATTTCTAAGGAGCATTTTAAAATTACATTCATGTATTTCCCTTATGTGCGCTACGAAACTTAAAGATAAACGACCTCGTCTCGTGGCCTATAACTCTTAGCACGATGCGCTCATCGCCGAGTTTCATCAGAACTTTCATCATCTACTTTGCTGTTACTGATTACGCATTCTCCTATTGAAGTCCATGCGTCTAAAAATGATTTATTGATTTCTTGAATGCTCATCTGAACCATATTTTTGGAATAGTGCGCCCCAGTTGTGATGTTTTCAAACACAGCATTGAAAAATCCAATTCTGACCAGCTCAAAACCGATAAATTTATTTCTTATTTGTTTCTATTCAACAGATAAAAACTAAATCAATTCATTTCAAATATACTGAACAAATATAGAATGTAAATCATATGAAATAAATGATTCACTATGGTTCAAACTACCTCATTCTAATGTACTAAAAGCATGCACGATGTTTGACTTCTATGGCAGAAACGCCGAATATGATATAGATACTATTGATGAACCATGGCAGGTTCTTAAGTAAAGAAGAAGTAATACAGTAGATTGTGATTACTAGTAGCTATGCTCTAAATCAGACACAACAAAACACAGTATATATAGGTAAAAAAAAATAAACAGAAAAGCTATTGCCATTGATACATTATTGCAAAATATTCGGTCAATATTCATTAATCATCGAAATATATCTTCTTTTTATTCCCAATAAATTCACCGATTTATACAGCAAAGAATAATTTGATCGAAAATTGAAAACGTTCAGATCAATAAATAAATAGAAGTACAGACAACACGGTAAGACAAATGCAAAAGAATTGCAAGTTGTCAGATAAAATAGGCAATATATATTATCTTGTTGCCACTCAGTGTAAGGACATCTAGCAAAGCCAGTGGCATGTTTTCACGATACCATATTCGAGATATTAGTCTTACGTTGAGAAAGAGAAAAAAATAAACTATTTCATCACGGGCAAACTGGGCTTTGTAATAGATACTGCATCATTCAACGAAACACGTAATAAGAAGACTGATGTCTATCTAACTGTAAGTCGCAATCATAAAATACTATTTTGTTTCATTCCACCTTTACTTCGTTAATATAGCTGTTAAAGATGGCGGACTACATCTATTTAGCAATTTACAATTACGTAGAACTTAGTGGTAGCATAAATGGTCCCTGTAAGATTCCATAATGCATCTCACAAAATAGCCGCCTGCGGCTTGAATAGTCGCTTCAATCGAATTAAACGATAAATAATGATATTATTAATAATATCTTCAAAATATAGAATAGAGAAATTGTAATAATAAACTCATGCGCTCCTGCAGTGTCATCGGGATGTCTTTTGTTACCCGCTCAGCTCATGTACGGAATATATTTAAAACAGGTAAATATGCACTGTTCCTAAAGCGCGAAACTAAGGCCGCGCGTAAGAAATCCAAAATCAGTAAAAAATATTTTGCATTGATTATACTCGAACTATTTCAAGATTATTCAATCTAAGGGAACAAAAGCTCTGTTACGAACATTTTCGCTTGTTATTCATTTAACATTGCTCGCGATCGTACCGCGCTGAGGCACAGTTCGTCCGTCTGTGGATGACCTACAAGGTAAAGTTTTTTTTCGTGGACGACGCGGTTATCTCATGGAATCTTTTAATTCCCTGTGATGCCATTTTTGCGAAGCATCGCTAGAACAAGGTTTTAATAAAACAGTCATATCCACCGCTTCCATACAGTGTCCTGTTTGCACGTGAAGGAATTGAAAATTCTAAAAACGAAGGTAAAGAAATATGTGTTAAGCGATTTGCTTATAAAATTAATGATAAAAGAATAATGTTCCAATATTTTGTTAATTTTATTTGTTTAACAAACCCTGATTCACATTTTGCCATACCAGAAAATAAAATATGAAGAATGAATTTTAGGAATAGAAAATGATATATTCTGATGAAATATGCAAATGTTTTTTCGTCTACACTCTACACTACAGTCTTCGCCAGACATGAGCAAAGTACGACCCGCGGGCCAAACCCGGCCCGTCGGGTAATTCAATCTGGCCCGCCTGATGCTGCAACAACCAAACTGAAACCAAATTTTGATGTTTTAGCTAAAAATACCTCAAGGAATTTGTTGCGATTGCGATTAAATTTAGTTTTGGCACGCAGCTTATTATTTTCCACTGTTGCTTTTGTAACACTGTAAATATTGGTCATAAAATGTGACTTTTTATGGCCCCCTGGTTCAAACACCTTGCCAACCCTGGTCTACACACTAGTCTTACTTCAGTATATTCCCACATTTGGGAGAACGGTACTTGTCCTTGAGGATAGACGCATGCCTTTGTGAGGACTGACGATCCATCAGGTTGAAGACAAAGTTCTTTCACAAAATTATGACGAATTTCTCCTTGGCGAGTCAGCAAATAGTCCTGAAATATATTTAGTTTTGAGTTTAGCAAACAATAAACATTTGATGATTACATACTTATATGTACGAATCTATTTCGATGTTCGAGCCGTTAGAATTTGAATAGTATTATAGACGCATTCCAAAATACGACGTTGGTCGCGATTTTGCCATGACAGAAATTCCCATTCTTCCTGAATCCAGGATTGGGAATGTTTTTCGACGAAAGTTCAAGTTTCAGTCAAAAATATAAAAGCTTCTACCTACTACAGGTAAATTCGAAGTATAGTTACGATTCCAATGTAATCAAAAAACACCAGATTACAACTTTGACGCGACTGGGCCGATTAAACGATTTTCGATAGATTGCATGCGAAGACGGTATGGTGGGCCTTTGCAACAGAATTGCAAAATTACATTTGTAAAATTGTTTGGCACAACTTTATAACGTAGAATGCAATTCTTATATATTTATAACACGTAGCATGCAACATGTGAGCAATTGCGTCTTGTATTTGGACTTCATTGCTGCAATCAATACTATACCTGATTACCGCCCATTCCATGACAAACATACAAAGTTGTTTTGAGTCCGATACTTCCTTGTGGATTAGCAGAATCAAGACAATATTGATTTGATTTCCCTTCGTTTGTCCACTGTAAAACACGTTTCACAAAATTTTATTCAAAACGTGATACTCACACGGAAACACGACATTTTCTCAAGAATACTCAAAGGTAATGTATCTCGAATTGATAATAAAATCTAACTATACCTTAATGGTATATTAATATTACATTGCTACAATTGATCATCTATTTTCATATCAAAATGTACTTTCACATGTACATAAAAATGTCATATATATAAAAGCATTTAATGTTTGACAAAATTTCGATTCATAGTGATAAAGTTAGCGCATACCGGATTCTATTGTCTAGGAATATAATCCACATTTTTGCGACATTATCATCTTAAGACCATGAGCTCTAATTTTGCCAGTAAATTTTGCAACGAGAATTGTAAATCAGAAAGAGTAGACCATACCTCGCCAGCCATTATTATATCATCTTTTGGTGGCGCATACAAATCGGGATATATGTTTTTAAGATACCAGGCAAAACTTTTGCAACCAAGATCTTCTCGTAATTGTTTCCTCTCAGTCAAGTCACCAGCGTCGATCTAGAAGTTGCATTTAAATAAATTTGATATATATATAAAAGGAGTTATAACACTTATATAGCACAGGTCATAACTATGAATATGCCTAGTTAGTGTTCCAGATTCCCATATAAGTAATTCGTTCATGTTTAACATATTTTGTTGCAGACTTATGTTTATTATATTGAACGTTTTCATGTTCTTGGTATATATAGTTCATTCATTTTGTAATAATTCCTTGCCTTCATTAAAGCTTACAAGCATTAATTAATGGTTTGAATGATGCGATAAATATGATATAAATTCATACGCTATTTCTAACACTATTTTGCTCTATTCTCAAACGATTTACTGAAAACCGGACGTTTCCGATTTGCTGTCAATAATCCTATCACCAAATGAACCAAACAAGATGGATGAAAATGCGCTCTTACGTGCCTGGGTTAACTTCGACGGCGAAATATGTCTGTAGAGCTTTTATCTGGCTTTGTTTATAGCAAAAGGCACGAGTGAGCGTCGTATTACGTCATTACACAAAAAAACATTTGGCCTCTCCCGAAAATTTGGGACTGGCTACGTTCTTGAGGAAGAGTTGAGATTCTGGCCATTGTGCAACTAGCAACTGTGCAAAGTGGCCCGCAAAAAATGGCATAAACTTTTGTGAATTAAAATAACTCATATAACGATATGTACCGACAGATTTCTGCGCGATAAAATATTTGCGATGAAACAGAATATGTGCAGAAATTGTTGATGAAAATTTAATAGGACCCGATTATATTGTAAGCTTTATATTTCCGTTTGAATATATGTATGTTTGAGTTAATGTAATATTTATAGATATCAACGACAATCATACACGCGGGTTTTAGTGGTGATTGTATTTCCAAGTATGCGTCCGTTCCATAAGTCGGTTAACTATTTCCGATTATAAGATTAGCAAATTACTTTTCTTGCTCTGGGTACTCGTCTGTAATATTGTTCGCTATATTCATCCATCCAAACATCGGCTACTCTTCGGTTATTTCTTGTTATGACGTCAGTTCCTCCCGGATGAGTGTAGGGAGCTCTTTTCCGAAAGACATGACCAACGTGAGAGCAAGGATGGATTTCTAAAGTTCCTCCACACATCCATATCTGTAAATATTGTAACAAAGTATATTTTATATATTTGTGTTAAAGATGCATTTATTTTGGTGCCCCCGTAGTGTGTGTACCAGGTTAGGGTTAGGCAATAATTTTATTCCGTTTTCATTTTTATTTTAGTTCAATTACGAGTTCGGGGACTGTTCGTGTTAGCCAATTGGATATACCCCCTGCTCATAGGTCCCCCTGTGCCTTTACACAACTTGATGTAAAAGTCGGCGAACAAAATTATTTACCTCTATATTGGTACACACACTTCTGGGGCGCCCTTTTTGTAATAGCAATCGATGAGTGTTATATGCATAGTACAAATACAAAAAATAGGTATGAAGACTCAAACCACTCATAATATTTCTGTGTTCATTGAATCGTATTCCATGACGTCATATTTTGTTATGACGCAAAGTTGTTACATTATGACGTCATACATTATACTTTTCAACTCCAATGAGACTATGCCACCAAGTCAAGTAATACGCATATTAAATCAATCAAGCATACATAAGCAGTCAATCTTTTTTTTTATATAACATACAATACAATTTGTATATATGTACAAAACCCCAACGCGGCCTCTCATTCTCAAACAAACCGACCAGAAGATTGAAACTTACCCTTAAAGACATTTCAATATTTTCTCCACCCCAAACTTTCATCTGATCATCGTAGGAACCAAGAAAATAAAAGTATGATCTGCTCATGGAGAACAAACCACCAGCCATTGTTGGGGATGAAATAGCGTCGTCGCTTGCTTGATTACTTGGACGATTTTTTTGAACTGCCCAGTTAAAACCCAGGCTCCATCCTAGAATACCAACTTGTACTGATCTGCAAGTGAATAACAGACAGATTAAAATTATATTCATATTAAAAAATGCAGCAAGAGTTTCATGCAAACGTCCAGCCATTGTTTTTTAATATGCACATATCGTGTTTCCCCGAAAATAAGACCTAGTCTGAATTTTAAAAATGATTTCATTTTAAGCCCTTCCCTTAAAATAAGACCGTCCTAGACAATAGCGCGAATTTTTCTTTGACCTGGTCCATAAAAAGAAATCTCTGCTACACGTTTAAAATGATTAATCTAATCTTGAATAGATCTATCTAGTCTCTAATCATGAATAATCTACTTTTAGCAGTTTTTATTTTAATAATAACGTGCTATTTATAAGTAAATGAATATCGGTTTTAATATTTTTATACTTAATTCTACTCGTAATTCTTCACTTTGTAATTTGTTTTTGATAAATGAAAATAAAAGACATTTCCCCCAAAATAAGCCCTTGTGTTATTTTTTCGAAAGAAATGTTGATTCGGGGAAACGCGGTATATATTTATTTATGTAACCATTCCTATTTGTACACATGATATTCAATATTTTAATATGGCATGAAAACAAATAAACTTATGTTTTGCTGCTGAACAAATGGAGTATGCCTCCCACCTTGAGCTCGTGATTCCCATTGCAAAAGTATCGGAATCAATTACTTCAATTACTGGGCAAACTACCCTCGTCGGATCTTCCGCTATTCGTTCCAATAATGGTTCGAGCCAGCCTGTGGCGCATTCGCCTGAATGAAACATTATAATGGTTGTATTTCGCCGCAAATTGGTTATCCTGCATCTCTTATTGATGCGGTACGGTCAAAATGAAGATTTTGTTGTACAATATAGAAACATTTTGATGAATAGTTACAAATACACTAGGATTTCACAGTGATTGGATTTTGTTTGTGTGATATTTTCGGATCTCCAAAATTACCCATCTACATGTAATGCTACATGTGAAGTTGATGAAACAAATTCATGTAAAATCCGGGCGGTACAATATACCCGCCAAGTCTAGAAGTCCCCTAAACATATAAGTAGTCGCATATATAAACCAACGGTGTAAATTACCTTCAAAAAAGAAATGTTCTGAAAACATAAAAAATAACTTACAATGGGCATCTAAGAATGTAAGAACATCGCCAGTAGATGCCTCAGCACCAATTAATCTGGCTCGAATCAATCCAACTCTTTCTGGTGTTCGAATAATTCGGACAACGTCAAGTTGTTTAACATATGCCTCTAATTGTTCATGTAGATCCTCTAAAAAAAAATTTTTGGTCCACTTTTTTTAATAAGTATTCTATAAGTTTCGCACCATTCTTCTGAAATTTTCAAGTACCACTAAGAGTCTTAGATGCATTGTTGATATAAAGCCTAATTAAATATAAGTACCGATGTTGATCCGAGACTGACAAATTTTGGATACTAGTTTTGTGGGAAATATTTTCAGAATATTCGAGATTGAATGCCTGCCACAAAGGGCAAAATAGGTTTTATTCAAACATTATCGATTCTAGGTATTATTGGTGTAAGTTGCCGACGGAACAATTGAAAATAGTATGGCACTCAATTAGTCCTGGCAAATATGGAGTAATATGGCTAATACTTTTGATTGTATTTTGGTTTCTGAAAATCATTTTACACTAATGAATGCTTCCCAAACCTTGCCTTCACAAAAATTTCTCGCTATACATTAATATTGCAACATTGTTGACGCCTATTTTGAGAGCGTTTTTGAGAGTTGGAGCTTACAATTTGATTTATTTGTTTAAAACATCATTTTTTTTAAAAATCTTTAACCACGAGCCGCATATTTTTAGCCGAGTCTATATCGCATCTTTTCCGGGACTAATATCTAAATATTGAAACTAATCTAAAGCTGCTCGAAAGACATAAAGACAATTAAGTTTCTTGATTTACAACTAATTTTCGGAAACACAACTGAAAATTTACAAAAACGCGCAAAACCACGAACACAAGGCAATGTTTACACCCATGCTTGAATATTTGTCTGAGTGGCTACACAAATTAGAATTATTATGTCATTGGTAACCTATTGATTAACCTACTGATTAGTCATTATTACGGAAATAAACAAGGAAATCAATCCTCTGGGAAACTCCATTGTAATACACTTTTGATTGCCTAGCAATCTTGTCGAACGAAGCATACCGTGAGTACTTGAGTCGTCCACAAGAATAACTTCTTTCAATAATACTTTGGGTGAAGTTTCTAATACGCTGTAAACAGTTCGTAATAAAGTGCACCAAGCTTCGTTGTGAAAAACTATAATAACAGACGTTGTTGGCAAAGGCTTCCTCCATTTTCGGTCTTTGCACCTATAATAAAAATCGCTATGTTTATAAAATGGAAACATGTATATTGGCTTTCCCATGTAGTCCATTTGCTATATTTTATATTAAAATTCTAGAGCGCATTAAAATCATTTCCTGACACATGCTGATTTTTTGGTAATACATGCTAATGATATTTATCATTTGAGTGTAAGTGAGAAAAATAATATAAAAAATGAAAAGGAATTTTACACTTGTAGTGGAAACTAGTTATATGCATGTAACAAGCTTAGCTTCGGATACATCCGAGATAAAATCTGGCATTAAGACAAGGGTTACCGATAAATAAAAGTTAGTAAACCGCCCATTTATTACAGGATTTTGTATGGCCGAGTCAAATGTCAGGGAATCCTGGTATGAATTAATACTACACTTACTCTTGATCGCGTTTGTCTCCCAGGTACCGATGGACAGAAATTTTATCACATATATGTTGATTGAAGGCGTGTCGTTCCCACCCCTCTTTGATCAACTGAGATTCCATTTCGGAAGGTTTGTCGATCTTATATCCTTTGCCATATTCTCCAGGATTTGATGGCGACGGTAAGGGCTTACTCCGCCACGGCGTCAGTTCGCTGGCAGTGTAAAATTCATGCGACTGAAAACGGTATAAACATACAATCAAACATATCTGTAAATTTCAAAATGATATAACCAAAAGGATACGAATAATAACGGACTCAAAGTCGTTAAATACAATTGACTGGGTACTGTGATTGAAGGTTCGGTAAAATTCGGTCAAGACAAAGCGTCCTATTCTGCATTTATTGGACACGAAATGTACATAGGGATCGTTTTGTTATTATGTTCCTGTTGAATTCTTGGAATTTTTCTTGGTCTTCTTGTTGTGAAAAAGTCGCTTTTCTCTTTAACAAATGGACCAATTGATTTGAAATTGTCAGTACTTGAAGATTGTTATTGTTTTATTTACCTCAAACATTTCTTTCGGGTCTTTGGGATTCGTTTTTCGCCATGAATTTTTGGAAGATGACGTCATAGAAATTAAAGTTATGGCGCACTTTGTGGCCGTTTTGCGTGGACGTTCGCAAAACGTTGTGATTGGTCAATCGAAGTGGGGAAGGCTACGGTACTTGTACTGTGTAAAATATTTGATACCCGTACTTGTTCGCTTTGGTGTGCATATATTCGATCATTGCTTTCTTGTTTTCCCGACTAGTTGTGTAATCAGAAACGGATAATAACGCTAACGTTATGTAATGGCACGTGGCGAAAAATAATCATTTTATTACAGTTACTGTGTTACAATGCAAGTTATTCAAAAAGAGAAAGTAATTTTATTGATTCATCATGCATCATGCGTTATATTCCGGATAAACGTCCGTAATGATGTTCACTACAAAGGTGTTTCATTATGAAAATATTTATCATAGGATACACTTCAGGTCGCAATGTTATGATTTTTATTACAAGGCCTTTTATACAGAGACGTATACTTTGTGTTTCATTTCAGTATGTACCAATATGCTTGAAATATTCCAAACAAATTTTTTATTCAATGACTCATCAATAAATTTTGTGGCTTCTCAAAAACCCAGTCAATAAATATTAAGAGTAGCATTCAGTGAAGAGCCTTATTCGGAGCAAAATGTATGACGTCATTGAAATGTTTTGTTTATATTTACGTTATATATTTGAATCATTATGTTACTAATGATTACGTATGATGCGTGTAAAACTGTTTATTCGTAAAAAATCCATCATGCGTTAGTTTTAATTGACAAATACACCGTACATATTACTCAAAAGGGCAAATGGTAAAATGCCCTAGATTTTGGCAGTAATCTAACCATTAAAATTGAATATATATTAAAATTATCAATGTCTTTGATGCCCTTTCTATACTCTCTAAATAAATTAATTGAATCAATATGAAATGAAACATGCATCGTCATTTATTAAATATGAATCACAATGACATTCATGCGTTCGAATGAGTATAAACGGTTTCAAAACCTATATTGATTACAATTATTGCCGAACAATATACGTGTGGCCACGCGGAACCGATTTTAGACTGACTTGTCATAATGTAATTATTTTTTATATGAAATTTTATTAATCGTTTTTTGCATGCAAAAATTTGCGAAGGATCTCTATGAATTCGTTCCTGTTTTGCGAGCCGCCAATATATTGCGTATGAAAATTTATTAAATATCGAGAAGTAGTCCTCGGTCGGGTGCAACTTGTGCATACATTATTTGTGGATTTTTTTTGCGAAACTATTCATGTCTATTTGATTAACCCTAGATACCGAGAACGGGAGTTAAAGGAAGTCATTCAACAGTGATTGCCATCTTATCTTGCCAGCCTTGTGCGACTATTCATACAACATCTTTGGCAAAATTTCAAGGTCAAAAATCATATGGTTGGAAACAACATATTTTGGTTTACTAGACGAAATTCCCTGTTTTACCATTTAGTTTGAAATCAGTTGAAATAAATCGAAGGATGGCCAAGCTTTTGGTTGTCGATACTTGTGGAATTTAACTTTTATCCAACTAAAACTACTATTATTTGGAATAAATAGCATCATCTCTGAACACGATCTAAACGAATGTTTGTTTCTTGCTAATTACCATAGTAAGTTGAATTTTGTCTTTGAGGAAGTTAGGAAAAGAAAGTAAATAACTTACATATTTATTCAACATGGGTGCTTCATTAAAAACCTTCTTCCCTGCATTTACATTTTGCAAGGCATCTGGGGCGTTGATAACCGATTCATCTTCGTGATCGGGGTCAAAAAGATTTTTCTTGTCAAGTTGAAGTACGTCGTTGTCATCACCGACGTTACGTTGAAAATCAAGCAACGTATTCTTGTCTGGAGTTCTCTTCAAGAACACGAAATAAAACGTGGCCCCGAAAAGCACAAGTCCAACGGATTTCAACCGCGACCTTTTCGTAAGTCTCATATTTATCAGATTAGGACTGGAAAAATTAAAGTAGTGTAAAAAATTTGACCTTAACAGTTGCTTGATAATTAATTGCGATTGACATGAAGCAATCTAAATTTAATTGGAAAAGTTTATTAGAATTCAGATTACTGTCCTCTGCTCACAAGGAAGAATACTTCCTACTTCTCTCCTATTGCCAATACTAATTGACATGGATAAATCCATAAAAATCTATATATCTTGTCAAAAACATTTCTCACTTCTTGAATCACCGTCCATGCAGTCATGTATAAGATTCTAATTTGATTTCAGAAATAATCTGCCACACCATATGCAATGAGTATTAATTAAACCTCGCAATGCATGAACAACATTTAGCTATTTTATGGCAAATTTTACTGCTGAAGTATATAAACAAGAACCTTGAGCACTCAGTAGTGCCATGGATACTGCAATTTGTTGTGAACTTATTTATACGTTTCCGCTGTACTATTGTTGAAATTACTTGAATGAAGTCATAAGCAACGACCAAAAGTAAATTTAATTATATATATATGTTATTAAATTGAAACTTGAAAATGACTCATTAAGACAAATACAACAAAGAATCGATATTTAACATTAAAATAACAAATGCCAGCGCCTTTATTACAATGAGAATTTCGGTCACGTTCAATATAAAAAGAATTTAATTTAACAAGATATATAATAAAGCACAGACAGCTCACAGTCTTCGAAACTATTCTAAACAATAACACTAAATGAAAGTGCATTATTTCAACAATATGTGTGCAAGTGACCTATCAATAACCTAATACACTTATTTGCAAAGTTAAATTGGGAGGTCCGGATCTTGTACCGAACTTACAAATATAAAGTCAAAAAGTCCCGGCATGTTCCGTTTCAACAAATAGGCCATTTTCAGAATTAGTTTCATTAGCTTACGGGAAATACGTTTACAAATATATGTGTAAGCTATATGGTCGCCTTATTCTGTATGCATTGACGTTAACAAAAGTAAATTCTTTTGGAATTAACACCAAAGAATGAAAATATCAAGCAATTCTCATGCTATTGAAATTCTGTTACCGTTTAGTTTAGGGCAGAACAGTAGTGCCGGTAAATTGCGGGAATTCTAGATACCGTCGCCAAGACTCGCAGAGTAACAGGTCACCACCATCTCTAGACTGTCATCCAATGATCAAGCAGTACCGGCAAAACTAGAACCCTGATTCAAAAAGTTTTACATCCAATTCCATATCTGACTGGTGAACACAAAAGACTACTGCAGACGTGGTCAATAGCACTTGGCCTAAACAGTATTGAACCGCAATATACCATATGTCATTATTCCCACTACTCCCTGAGTAAACAGACGCAAATAAATAAAGTCTACCTAGAGAGTAAAAGTAAACAAACTCAAAACTCTGAACGTTAATTTTTATGTTCCGTTAATATGTATTCGATCAGACATAATCGTATATATTTAACAGAAATTTATACACAAAATGCTCAAATATTTATACCAAGTTGAGTATGTGCCATTGGTAGAATGCGTTGCCGAAGCGCGGGCCACCGTGGTTCACGTCCGTCAAACGCAACTTCCAAATAGGAGAATTCCGAAAGTAACGCGTCACAAGCCGAATGTGAGAGAGGGGCCTGAACCAGCATAAGATATTCAGGGCTACCAAATTTCAAAAATGAATTGGATACTTAGAAATTACAGAGTTTAAAAAAACTGTACACCACTTGTTAACATGACATAAATATCGTTACGACTTGAAGCAGATGGCGCATTCTCAAATATTTAAAAAGTATATTGGTTTAAAAGCCAAGCAAACGGAGCTCGGGGAAGTTGTAATGCAGCTGGACTTGCCATCAGCCTCAACCATGAAAAACCCTAAAACTATTCTACTCTTTTTGTAACGTTTCAACGTTATACAGATTCGTTTATAAAGTTTAGCTATAAAAAAATGCGAGCATTATTTCGCAATAGTGACGAAGCCCTTACTTCCTGGGTTGAAAGCACCGATTTACAAAAAATTTGCTTTCCATTGTATCTGCCTTGCTTACTTCCGATACGCATACCATTTGTGGATATTGTAACAATAGTGATCATCTTACAAATTGCTTTACTACAAAAAAATTATTTGAAAGCTGGATGATTTACAAATTTTACAATAGCGAGTCTGATAAAATACCCATTTGGCATGAAATTGATAGGGGAAGTTGGTGCAATATGACGTATTGTTACATGCAGAATATACAGGAAATATTTTGCAAATTTGGAACCATGCGTACCGTTGCATAATACATTATGTGTTGAAAGTTCAATTTGTCTGCAAATCAATGCAATTATAATGACGAATTACCTAAAATTTTACGCGCTAGAAATATATATAAAACAAAACAAAAAAATGACTATAGTATCACAGTATACCGACTCTATATATTGTTGACGCTTATTGTTGATAATATTTTTGCTGGACCGTCTGAGGCACAAATGCGGTATGTTCGTTTGTTACGTAATCGATCACCATACATAATTCGTAAAATATATGCGTCGAGTATTGTGATTCATTACCACAGTAAATTGCGCATGGTCAAGCCGGTTGACTGCATCTAACATACATTTAGCCCAAAGATATGCCTGCGCCTACTGGTATAAAATGAATTCTTTGTCGACGAGCATACATTTTTCAGGCAACAAGAATATTATTACATATATTATATCTACAGCAGTCAACATTTAAAAAAAGTTCAAGCAAAGAACCGAAAACTAATTAAGAATAGTTTCACATTCACCTCATTCAAAGCCTAAACTAGTTTCATACTGCATTAAGAACGGACAACGATTCTCATGCTAGTCACGAAATTTAAATCACCAACAACATGACATCTACTGTTCTACAACGTATGATTGAACGTTGCAAACGTCAGAATGCGTAAATCTTATTGTACATGACACTGACCATATCCTGGATCCTTGGGACCTTTACTGGACGAGGAAAAAACCTTACAAAAAACAGAATATAAAACATTAGATCACATTAGACATGATTATGGTTCCACTCTTAGGCCAAGCAAAAAGCGTTTCAACTTTATCAAAATATATGAATATACAGTAGACGTTTGATTATCACAATATACTACACACTTCGTAACTAATTTCCGCATTCAGCAGTCATTCTCAGATACATTTTCCTTCCTTGATTGCTTATACTTACAGATTGTTTCTTACTACAGCCGTTTCTCGAGATAAATCGGGCGCTCGCTATTCTTTACGGTACTTTTGCGGATACTTCAGAAGTACTAAAGAGTCTGAATGAGTCGCCTTATCCGTCTAGGAAACGTTATTAATCAGCAGTAAACGACTGTAAGAAGTGACGTCATTCCTCGCCGAGATAACGACAAACAATCGTTGATTGGAGATGATCATGCATGGATCTATAGAAAACTATAGCCTTCCATCTCAGACCTTGATATAATTTGCTATTTAAGTAATAAAGATGTCGTTCACTGAAATAAATTGTAAGCGAGTCAAAATGTGGAATAAATATAATAATGGCACCACGTAATATGACGTCACTGTAGTTCTTTTAGATGCATTTGTCCATGTTTTACTGTGAGACATTTCTAATTTTAACCGATCAATTACAAAATGTAACGAAAGACTGTTCCTAAAAGTAAAATTGACGTTAAATCAAAACTGAATGCAAATTAGGTGATGACCTTCACATTTTATTGATAAAGTGGTATATAACGAAGGTAGTGTTGCGTATTGATTTGCATCATCTACCTAAGTGATTGAGGAAAGTTTAATACTATTTTTAAAAAAACGTATGACTCTTTTTTATAAATATAGTGTCTGTCGTAGTCTCTCATAAATGACCCGAACGAGAGTAGCCTAAACAATAATGCAACCAGTGATGAAAAATTGCTTTGGTATTTGTAGACACACTGTGCCATACCGCCCATGTTCATATCATAACAATAAATATAATAATTACCCTTGTTACGTAATATCGATTAAAGAATATTACCAGCCACTGAAAAAATATCATTTGCGATCATTCGTTTTATAACATTTTCTGCCTCCCATTTTAACGCACAATCGAAAATGGATGATCCATATTGGCTTAGCGTTTATCAGCCTGTATATGAAATGGGCACCTTGGTCGAAGTATTTTGATCTATTGCGCTCAAGTCGCCTTGCGAATTTCACGTTGCCTTTTTCTATGAACTATGGTGGAAATATGTTCTGAAACTATCTGATTCGAGCAAGTCCATTAATTGACCCTTGTGCTTTTATCTATTCAATTCATGCTTCCTAGTACCTAGTCCATATCGCAACAATTTCTCAAAGAGAATCACCTTCGCGTTAACCAGGCAAATCCAATTCATATCTGTATAATACTGTGCTGACGCCAACCCGGATCTTTAGTTATGAATTCCAAACCCGGACATGAGGTGTTTGTACACGTCACTACCAGGTATATCATGGTCTCTTTGTATTTACGTGGGTAGGTAAAATCGCGATAAAAACATTTTGCGTGAACAATGTTGGTGAATTTATTAGGCTCAATTTGGATACACAATGACACTACGGTCCAAATTCAGTATTTATTCTTACGACAAAAAGGTTTCGAGATTTTATCGAGTAACTAACACGTCGAGAGATTTTTATGACAAATATTATAGGTTGGAATGGGTAAAACCAACAACTTGACATAAAGTCTATTGTGCATTATTGTTCAAAGTTTACTTCAGACAAACATAAGGTACAGACTGACGATTGTAATTCAGGCCATTCCAATAGTTTACTTCTACGTTAGTTTGCTTTATTAATTTGCTCTGTTTTATTTTAAAATGGATATCACCAGACGTTGTTGAATCGCTAATAAATTTTAATACGCTCTTCCTTTCCATGTTTAATGAGCTACGATTTGGAATTGCTGAGAATTTTTACTGTAATACAAATTGCAAATTGGGTCGTATACGACCTCGAATTTGAAAAACACGGATAGGTTGCTGAAGGTAGATAATATGGTGGCTATATGGCGACTGGGGAGGACAGAGATGCGTTCCTGTTGAAGCAAGTATTATTACGCTAATTCGTTGAGGTTATGACTACAAAATCCCATTTCATTTCAAACGGAATTTAGGTATTGTTAAGGCATAATAGGATTAAGATTAGATTTCTGTGTAAAATAACAAAGTTCCGCACCGGAACTATTTTAAATCATGCTATATAATACTCTAAAGTAAAGTTTTAATCAAAATTGGTGCGTGAAGATAAAAGCTACGTACGTCAATCACTGTGTATATTTATACCAATAAAATAATCGAAAAAGCGTATATATATACATATATACATTTGCAAATCATTGAAACTAATTCCATTTTGTCAAAACGAAATGACTTTTTTCATTATTTTTGATGAGGATTCTTTAGCCCGTATATGTCGATTTCGGAGGAAGTGATGGGGGCTGGTCATTCCACTTTTTGAGGATTTTCGACATTTCTATTTCTAATAAATTTTACGCAACAAATGAACAAAACAAAAGATAATATTTTTCTTGTATCACGAAATGGTTATTATAATAGTTTGTGATTAAAGGCAAATTTTTACGTATTATTGTAGCGTCAGAAAGGTAACTAATATATTATATAATGTACCGCTTTTCGAGGCTGGCTTCAATGAAGTATAGCTGTTCGACTGCGCTATCTATCGGCGGCAATGTAGGTATTTGAAGATATTATTGCAGCGGTGCAGTTTTACGAATAAAAACGATCGCCCAGTCCGTAAGCCTCCAGGAGATAAATTTGATGAAGAAAGTAAGAAACCTCATTTTCGATCAGAGTAACAAAAAACACAGTCAGACAAGAAGGGAGAAAGACGTACCCGAACTAGGTCACGTGAGCAGAGGTGCTCGACGTCAGTCAAGAATAGTCAAATCCACTCCATTACTCTAGTCCATTGAGAACTACTTCATTGGGCAGTACCACAGACGAAACCATGGTCCTGACTCTACACACAATTTTATGATAATACAAACAAAAATAACAATAAAAACGAGTATAACCATACATGTCACAATAGAATAGATATATTTTATATAACTTGCATCTGCCCAAGAAATACCGTTACGCAATCCCAGTACTGACTGTGATCAAATTTCCGCCAATCATTATCATGAAACCTAATTCTGACTGAACAGCAGGGGGAACCTTTACTTCAAGTAATCCAGTTTAAGTGGGGAATACTCAGTCTCATCCTGTGGTGTGATGGCTCTTCGAATATAATCTCTAGATAGCGATGTTGGATATTCGTTTAAATTTAAACGATATTTACCGCCAACAACGACAGCGCGTAACTAAGATCGTCAATATTTTTAGCAGATATTAGAACTTTGGGTGTCGCTGATTGCCAACTATAGCTTAATTTTTCTGCGATTTTGCTTCCCTAGTATACCCATGTGCTTTCTTTTTCTCGTTGTTGTGTACGATTGATGTTCACTGGTTGAATTTTTTTTTTCAATTCAATTGTTTTAGCGGAATATGTTAATCTTTAGAGTTTGAAACTGGTCGCTTGGTTAGTTAGAAGACAAAACAAGAGGGCGGCCCCAAATATATGAACGCGAAGATCGAAACGAATTAGTACGGGTATGCAATCTGTCATAGTGACTAACAGTACCAGTCTTCGCCAGATAGCAGCGGACGTGGAACCGCCACAAGGTGCACAATGTTCAATGGCGTCTTCGCATGCTTCGCACACACAAATGAATTAAATGGCGTCTTCGCACACAAAACGAATTCTCAGGCATGGAGCCCACAGAACTTATTGAAATAAACAAAAATAATAACCTTCTAGCAAAAATACAATCTTTAACCATCTAAAATTCTAAAGCAATTGGTTTAATAGTCAACGAGAAAAGCGATTTTTCACAGAAAGAAGAAAAGAATGAAATACTGACAAGATAAACAACAACAACCACATAATAACAAAACAACCCATAGGTCCATTTCGTGTCCAATAATATGCACTGGACTGCTGGATATTACTCAAATGTATAAACCCACACTTCGAAAATCCGAACAACGCAATAATGTGGAAAAGTTACTATCATATAATTTGAGAAATTGAACAAAAAATATTTTAGGTAAAGTTCAACTGGAGCTTTGGCAACAAATGTGGAAAGTGTCACCAAATGATTTCTATCATGCAAGATCGTACTCCATGAATATTGATTGTTTGAAGAGTATCGAATTACAGGTATAACCTACCTACAAACATATATAGGTTGCTGCATACTCAAGACCTTGATTCATTAATCGTTGTCAGATCTCTCACACACATTCCGGATTTCGTCCTGTCAGCAACTTCCTTTGAAGAAGGATCGGTTGTATACAGTTCTGTACAAGTGTAGAATATTTCATCAGGTGGATAATCCTGACTTGGACAAACTTATCATGTTGATAATCTTTTTAAATTTAAGATTTCTATGGCTTTTAAGACGATGGAGTACGAACTTGCATGCGTCAATGAAGTCAGCCCGGATGGTTCTAAATGTAGGCCCCTAATGTAAAATCGGTAGATTTAAAGTTGCAAAATTCACAGCTATGGTCTTTGGAGGCGTCCTGCTTTGAGGTCACAAAAATATGGTAACCATATGTATATATATTATATGATAGCGCCTTTAATGTAAATTTTACATTACTTGATAGAAAGTATAAAGACAAATTTGAAAAATTTATATTTTTATCTGAGATTTTAAGATGTTCAGGACAGCTCTCATAGGCAACTGCGTAGATAAATCGGTGCACTTACCGCACTCTATTGAAAATAACAATACACGTGATAAAGCACCACTGTTTAGATGAGTCTTATCGTATGATCGAGGCCTTTTTCAAATTGAGGTTAATGCAGTTTTATGCGGGAAGTCAATAAAGCATACTCAGGAAATTAAACTGCTATAATCACACACCGATAAATTGGCTTGGTATGTCACAAGATTAAAATTAATAATCTTAAAATCGTATCGATCTTTCACATTCGGTAGTCAGTTGGTTATTGATCACATGGTTAAGAAACACAAGCAACATATGGCGTCACTTCAGACACGTCACGGAGTTTCTACTGCTGTGTGCCAAAGGCACGAACGCGGCGATTTTTGGCAAGTACGAAAGTTTCGTAACCGTCTCGAGCAACTCAACGCGACCATGTTTGATCATGTTAAATAACTAAGCTTACCAATGGTATTTTATAACCGCGTCGCCGACCGACAAAAATCACATGACGTGTTGTTCGTTTATTCAGAACCCGCGTGACGACGGAAACAGCCAAAGAGTACGAAATGCCAGCTCATACCCAAGTAACTTTGCTCACACCGGAGTAATACTGCCGCACTGCGCATTTTATCGTACATAAATGCCACGGAGAAAATCCACGAAAAATCAATTTATTGAAGGCGACTGAAATAGTCTTAGTCGAAAGCGAACGACCACGAAACCACGCTTGGTATTCATTCATTAATATTTTTTGCATTTGTTCGCCAGCTTAAAGTGTCTCACGATGTTCTGATTCCAAGAAATTAGTGTATTCTCTGCAATTTCCTGACGGACGAAACAGCAACTAATACACCATAACACCAGTCAGTCGTAAATGTATAACATATTCAATATTATATTTGCACATAACTAGTAGTATTTGAACATAGATTATCCCGTGATCGAGAACTTTTTACACCACATGATATAATTTATACAAAACAAAAACCAACCAAGCACTACATGAAAGTTGTAGAGTTGAGCCGATATAAATAGCATGTGCCATATTAACAATTTGATCTACTTAGATAATTCAGTGGGATATTACTTTTAAAATGCAGGCCATGCCTTAATCTATGAGTATCCGCCAAAATATCTTATTGAAAGTAATTCTGAGAAACGAGCAGCAGTGTTTCAAGGCATTTTTAAATTTTTGTGAGGCATTTATTCTTACTCAGTAATGCAAACGCAGAAGTTAGGGAATGTATGTATATTTATATAGATCTTTTTTTCATATCATCGTGTCTATTTTCCCGAGAAAATTACAATTACAACTGAAGTAATGCAATGCAAAAAGAAAATAAGTACATAGTATTGATAACAGCTACCACCATCAAACATTAATTTACAGTAGAAACAACATAACAATTCCTCCCCTGACCTACTTACATTATGTAAACATCAGTCAGAATCAAATAAACATATTAGGATTATGGCCAACTCTTATTTAAACAATAGTCCAGTAGCTGACAGTATTGAACTTTGTATTAGTATAGGTCCGTAAAAATAACTGTGCTCTTGTGTTTTATATGCATATTGACAAATATTATTTAAAAAATTGTGAGCAAACAATCCCAGTATTGAACTTGATCTAATAAGCCAAACACAATCTGTCAATTGTAATGTAGAATTGTATGTAGTCAGGGCCCAATGAAAAGGACACATTATACTCAGTTTAAATGTCTTCACATTATAATAAAAGATCTCTTCAGTATAGCAAGAATATTTTTCAAATATATTTATGACAGAGCAATGATATTTTGAATTAAAAAATGAAATTGTATTCAACATTCGATGAACAATTACCAATTTTACAAGCAAGTTCATGAATCTATAGAAGTCAAATGCCTGATGATACATTTCGAAACAAAAATTGGGAAGAATACTTTTGTTAAATAATTAAGCCCCGAATAACAAAGTTTAAATATTGGTGGTTATAACAGAATTGTTTTTGTAAAGTATTCACAAATCAAGATACATAAAATATCAAATTGTAACGCAATGTAATATATTATTTGACAAATTATTAGATTTACATTGGTAGGTCGGAATAGTGATAATAAACATAATATAGCAATCGGGAACTAAAGAGGACACAAGTACTGAATCGAAGAGTTTTTGGATGATTTTTCATCGCATATAGCAGAATCAACCACGAACGATTAAGACTAGAGCAGTGATGAGACCGTACAATCCCAGGACTTCAGCAAAAATAAGGATGAGAATCATTCCTGTGAAGTGGTAAAATGATACCATAATTAGCAAATGTTAGGTAAAAATGTATTTGAATCAAGTGAACAAACTGATATCACGATTTTAAAAGTTTCCATGTTTAAAGTGATACGCTGAGAATTTAAAATCAAATTCAAAAGTAATATGTTAAAATAATTAGTTTTCAAAAATCCTGGTTATTGAAACTACCTAAGTCATTATGTACGTAAGTCATTAAGTATTACGAGAATGCAAGCATGTCTGCTGTCAATGTTGGATTTCCAAATGTTTCAAGTTGAATCAGACACCTGTCCTGACAGAAGGATGTCAGTTTCAAACAATAAAAGCCTTGCTAGGAAGTCGGTATGGAAACAAATAATCAATAGCAGTGAGCATGTATGGCATGCCTGCCAAGATTCTAAAAACCTTCGACTTATTGATAGAAATATTATAAGCACAATAAATTAATCAATAAAATCAATCCCCCCCATACCATTGGTGTCAGTAGGTCGCAATATAATTATGATTCTGAACACTATCATCTGTACTCGAATAATGAAGTATTTATGGACTTACCAACAAACAGTCGAGGTTGCTGTGCCGTTCCTCTTACACCTGCGTCACCTACTATACCAATAGCTATTCCAGCAGCAAGACCTGAAAGTCCAACAGATAAACCTGCTCCAAGGTGAAGAAACGCTCTGAATTAAAAAGTTATGTTCAATATATGAATATGCTTAGATAGGGTGTAATATAAACTTGAAGTCAGAAAAGCGAAAAATATATATAAAACTTGATTTTGTGTGAGGCACACAAACAATATTTTCTCTTATGCATAAGCATTCATATGTATGCTTCATACAAAAATATATTTTTCAGAAAGCTTTCAACACAATTCCCCAAATTGGGGATTTTTTTTCACCACAGATCAGCATCATATTACAATTCCAAAGTGATTAAAGTAAACTTACTGAAATAACTGCATTCTTGCACTCATCTTCTGAGTAATCAAAACTGCAATAACTACTCCATAAATAGCGATAATACCCGCCATGACAACAGGAATAACTGATTTAATAATCAACTCTGGCCTCATCACACTCATTGCGGCAATTCCTGTACCAGATTTCGCTGTTCCATATGCAGCTCCCATTGCTGAAAAAGGAGAAGAAAATTGGATAAATTGAGCAAAATTCAATACCAGGCTTTATAAAGAGACATGTCTTCAAGATAGCATAAAATAGTACAATTTGGTATTTTATACAGATTTGCTTGAATTAAATTAAATTCCACACTGATACTTCTGCACAAATTGAACATTAGTTCAAAAATTTGGTTGGTCAAGATTTACTAAGAACAATCAAAGATAAACACCATTAAGTTAGATTCAAAGTTAAATTTCATAAATCGGGATTTTAAACAGTTTTCATGCAAAATTCATTCAGCTCTTTTCTGAACTTCGAGATCCAGAAAACTCCAAGTTCAAAATACAATTGGAACTCACCACTGAAAACCATTGCGGCAGCAGCGCCCATTGAGCTGAAGAAAGGAGAATATTCGGGTCCAGTTCCTGCATCAGCCATATTGTTGTATTTTTAGTTGAGTCAAGAATAGATGGAATTGAAATAAACGTAGAGTTTGATGGCAAAAGATTTTGAAAATTTGATTTCAATTTCAATATGCACTCAAACAAAGCGATGAGGTGTAAATAGTACTTTATAAATAATCTGAAAAAGAGGTGAAATTTAGAGTTACGTTATATGAAAAATATTCACTAATTATCATTGTTTGATGTGGATAAAGTTGCAGAATTGATTATTACAATGTAGGTACCGGTACCGGTACTCATTTACACAAGCCATTAGTGAATGAAATAAAGACGTCTAGGCTAAATGAATTTTAGAATTGAAAGTTATTGAGTTTTAATTATGAGTGATGGGGAAACTTATTGAAGATTGCGGTTTTGATAATAGCTGAATGCTTTTCTGAGAAAAAATGACTCAATTCTGTAATTGTAACGTTATGTAGAATCATTCAAAAATACCATTAATTCAGTAATTGAAGTTTCGAACTACAATTATTATGAGTCATTAAGATCTATTTTGAGAATTTGTTACGAGTATTATTTAGTCTGAACCAATATCTAGAATATGTTCAGTATCTTTATTTTGAATAATAAATTTCAGTTTTTAGCTGATTGATTCAATTCAGTGATTGTTCGTCTTCAGGTCTTGTTTGAACTCGACACGCAAAATATCTGACCGTATACACGATGCGATTCTTTCACTACGAAGCTCACAGATTTCTTGTACTAAAAGTGCAGAAGAGCGAAATGTCCGAATGCTGTGCGATAATGCAGTACCGGTAATCACTGAATCATGCCTGAATGCTGGAATGTGAGGGCGCAAATCAGAAATGGCTAGCCTATCTATCAACAAATCATTTTATTACTCTGACTACTAAACAATCAAAGCTTAATGATCGACTCCAACATATTTTCATCTCCTTACATGAACGACAAACTATTTGAATGAACAAAAGCACGCTAAACCTCCCAGGAAAGAATCACAAAACTCCTTGCGAAGCTTTCAAAGTATCGAACCGAGAGAACTGATCGTCACAAATCACATGACTTGCGTGACCGTAGTCTCCGATGGATCAATATCAGTCTTCGTTCGACAAAACCTCAACCGGACGGCTTTGGGTTAAATCTTATAGGAAAACTACAGTCGCATTATCCAGATTAATAATAATGATTTTATAGTATGTGTCATAATGTACGACAATAAAATACAATTAGTAATCAAAGTTAAAACTCTTTCGCAACGAAAGAAAACTTAAATAGGCCAGAGCCGATAGTATATATTTACGATTGATTTGAATGAACAGTACTAAGATCTATATACAAAATGTAGGGTTTTCTAATTACAATATGATCTATGGTGTAATATAATTCATTTTGAATGGTATGGTGTACAAAAATAAATAATTATGCCTTTCAGAAACGTAGAACTACTATTCAAAAACATGCGTTTTATATTATTTACCCAAGAAAACTTGAGGGAACTATGGATCAGTGATCCTCGGAGTGCGATATCACCTAACCTAGAGAGAGGAAGAGACAAATAAGGACCGATAGCGCATCCTCGGTAAAATCAGGCGGATGTATATTGCATAATGTATATAATGCATATGTATATTGCATACATATTGCATATGTATAATATATTGCATAAGAGTACTGTAAAGGAGCCATGGCACAGGAATTTTGAGACCACTGCTCTAAATTGAGGAAGCAAGCAAAACAATTTGAAACATTCAATATGATAAAGCAGGCGTGTGCAAAGTGCGGCCCGCAAGGGAAAATTGTGCAGCCCGCGGAGAAGTGCCAATCTTGAATAGTGCGCGGCCAGCTAAAGTAGTTTTGAAATTTAGTTGAATCTGGTATCCTTTGCGTTGCAAAGCTTATATCCGAGTTCAATTTATTATCTATGTCTATGACTTACAGCGACCTGACAGCGAGGCGAACAACGCGATTCACAAAGCTGTCCCTTGCTGAGCAGCAAACAATTTAAGGAAGATGCGGAGCAGACGCTAATGAATTTGTAAGAATGGGCAATTGACGATTAGGTAACTGGAAAGCAGTTTAAAAAATTTAATATTATATAGATACAAGGGCTAAAATTAGTTTTGTATCAAGCCTATCAATTGATTTTGTCTAAATCTAATCAATATGGAATAAGATTTGACAGAAAATTACTTGGAAATGAATCTTACCGAATACACCAAGAAAGCTTTCCACATTTATAAAAAAGTCATGGCAAATATGGCACTTTTCGGTAACATATTTATTTCCAAAATGAGCTATTCTGCGCCTGCGGCCCGCGGTCTCACTCAGTTATTGATATTTGTCCCGCCCGCGAAGAAGGTTGAACACCCCTGTTTTAAAGCATAGCATGCATTTGTAGATCATAGCACTCTTTAACTGTCTACAAGAAGCAGAAAAATCTAATAAAATGAGAATATAATTGATAATATATCAGGCACAACTTTGCCCAAAAACCACGCTTATGCTTGTTTGTATTTTGAATATCCTTTACTTGTTGTCACGGACTTTATTATCCGAGTGTTTCGTTGAGTTTAATCTTTTTATATTTTCTTTACTTTATGCTCATTTCGAGGACCCTTAATTTGGATAAATTCCACCCGGGTTTTGTTACTATGAAACTCCGACCACCCACGAGTCGCGAGTGAAAATAGTTCGCTCTATTTTTCAATGGTAAAGGCTGGACGTTGGCCATTTTTCCTGTGTTCACTGTTTTTCTGTATTAAATTTGTTATTATTGGACACGTAGTGGACATAGCGATCGTTTCAATATTATGTTGTTGTTCTTGTTAAGTTAACAGTTGTTGTACAATAAAACAACAAATCCGGCATGCCAGACAGGACTGGATTTCTAAATTTTATTACGTTTGCCACTATCATTAAACTAGCTGCACAATCATTTTGTTATGTCGGTATTGAGATTTACCCATGTATATATATTTATAGTTTGTACAATTCAAGCGATAAAAGACAATTAAACTATTGCACAGAGATTCCTCGAGCCTCCGGAATTTGTCGTTGGAGTTCCGCTCCACTAAAAGGTTGAAAACCTACTTATCGCAAATGTAAAATGCGTTGTACTTTGCAAACAGGGGCGTGCCAAACTAGTCTGCTGCCCGGGGCGAGTTTCTAATAATGCTGCCCCTTATACCTATAACTTCTAAAATAATTTGGGTGATGAACAGATTATAGATGTCATCATACACGAGAATAAATCAAATAAAGGTCAAGTAAGAAAAACGGTTGATTTATTAAACTAAGCATCAAAAATGTTGCAATTGTAAAATATAGGAAAATTTTTTCTGAGGTCAAGGGTCGGGGAAACAACCATTGTTGAATAACCATCATTACAGAACGCATAATGTTAGCTTTTAATTAAATAAGTACATATCTAGAAGAGCACGTGTAATAACGTAAACTCTACAGCTTGGTTCTGCTGCCCCCCTACATTTTGCTGCCTTCCACAGCCTTCCTATCCTCGACCCACTGCGCAATCGCCCACATCCCTACTATTCTCGACCTACTGTTACATCGAGAATTGCATTCACTAGATTTTTGTATTGACTCAAACATTGCGTCCGTTTAACTTGTGTAGTAATTTATTTGTTATTGTTGACGCCGTAATTTCCCTTGATTGACAGTGTGCTTCCACACACTTTGTTACGAAACAATTGAGAGAGTCTTCGGGGCAATTGCTTGCCCAGACATGTCTCGCTTAGACAGGGACAGACGCTTAGACAGACAAATCTTTAAGGAAGCCTGACAACACTTTAGTTTACACATGTGAAGAAATTCAGGAAGAGCAAGTCAAATTTTATAAAAATCTTTATCAAAGAGATGAAAATTTGGACTTTAATAGTCAAAATTGGTTATTGAATAATTATCAGCAAAAAGTTTCAAATGAGCAAAAACAAGAAATGGATAGTGAATTAACAGAAGAAGAATTAGAGTATGCTTTCAAACAAATGAAATTGAATAAATCCCCTGGCCTAGATGGTCTAACAAAAAAATTCTTTGTTCAATTTTGGAAACAATTACGCCCAATTCTCTTGCAAATTTAAAATAGTTATCATAAACAATTATGTCTGTCTCAGAACACAAGTCTTGGTTTAATAGCTTTACTTTATAAAAAAAGGGGACAAAAATGACATAAAAAATTGAATATAAATTAATCGCAAAAGTTTTGGCCATGAGAATGAAAGCAGTACTGCCAGTGCCTGATATAATAAATCATGACCAAACAGGATTTATTGAAGGACGAACGATTCATGAAAATTTATTTACAATAAGAGATGACATATTTTGGGCAAATAAACAAAACCAACCGCTAATAATTTTTAGTATAGACCAAGAAAAGGCTTATGATACTGTTGATAGAGTTTTGTTACTCAAAATATTAAAAAAGGTTAATTTTGGCAATTATTTCATTAGATGGGTCAATACCCTTTTTAACAACACCAATGCAAAAATAATAACAAATGGATATTTATCAAAGCAATTTAGTATAACACGAGGAGTTAGACAAGGTTGTCCACTTGCCCCACATTTATACATTATAATGTCAAAATTGTTAGCATCCAACATCAGATACAATAGAGCAATTATAGGTTTTCAAAATTGTACAGGTGCTAGGGAGAAATATAAAGGTTTTGCGGATGACACTATTGTCACAGTAGAAAGTTTACCATCCATAGACGAAGTATTAAAATTAATGGCAGAATTTGAAAAAGCTACGGGCTTGAGAATAAATATTCCAAAATGCAACATAATGTTGTGTGGGTCAGAAAAACGGCTAAACTTGGGACCTTCATACAAGTTACAAGGGTATTCAAATCCAAGAAGAGCTGAAAATTCTTGGGGCTTATATAGGAAACAATATCGTATGAAGGGATAAAAACTGGTTGAAAATCATAAACTCAATTCAAAATGTAGTAAATTTATGGCAGGGACGAAATTTATCAATGATAGGAAAAATTATTATTGTCAAATCATTAATGTTGTCTAAAGTATGGCACATTGCCAATTATGAAATTATGCCAGAAAACTTAATTCGAAAATTAGAAAC